CTGCCAGCCTGGGGGCATGCCCCCCCCCCCCCCCCCCAGCTCCTCTCCAGAGCCATCCCAGTGCCACCAGCTTTTCCTGCCCTGTATCTGCCTTTGCTCTGGGCTGTACTTGGTGGTCCCAGCATCCGGAGCCCTTCTAAATCTGCCTGAGCGCATCGGGAAGAACACATGTCAGGGAAGGAGTCTTGGGGACAGCAATGACAGTGCCATGCCCCCCCCATCACATGTGGTGTTGGGGAGGGTGCTGGGTCACTCCCAGTTCTCTCACTGTGCCCTTTCCAGATGTGGTTTGTGGAATGACTTTAATGAAAACCTTCATCTCCCATCCCTGTAATTCCATCTCCCACTGTTTGTGGTGGTGGTTACACTGGAGATACAGATAGATAGATACATTTAATTGGGATAAAGAAAGCAGCTTCATCACTGGATCCTTCCTGAGCTCCATAGTTGGTGCCAGAAATAGCATCTTCATTCCAAACAGGCTTTTCTTTGAGTGTTCCTTCCCTCACCTGGAGCAGATCCCTTCTTGGAGGCCCACAGGGCACTGCATGGGTTGGAGTTCATCTCCGCAGGGCCAGCGTGTGTCACACCAGCTCAGTGAGAGGGACATGGTCCAGGCAGAGCTGGACATGGAGGCAGTGCTGGCTCCATCTGTGATCTGAAACTGAAGCTCGTCTGGAGGTGGCTGAGGGCTGTGGTTTTGGGGAGCATCACATTCACCCCCCAGTGCATCCCTGAAGGCACATCCTGCCCTCACTTATGGCTTTGCCCATGGCTGGCAGCAGAGCATGCAGGAACAGGGCTGTCCCCAGTCCCCTGTGCCACAGCCAGGACCTCCAGCAGTTCCCCAGCTGGCACAGGATGCCCAAAGAAGTGGTAAATGCCCCATCCCTGGCAGTGTTCAAGGCCAGGTTGGACAGGGCTTGGAGCAAGCTGCTCCAGTGGAAGGTGTCCCTGCCCATGGCAGAGGGGTGGAACTGGATGACCTTAAGGTCCTTTCCAAACCAAACCATTCCATGATTCTATTAACCTGCCTCCTTCCCCCCTCTTGCCTTCACTGCAGGGAGCATAATGCTGAACAGCATTACCGATGGGCTCCTGTGCTGCCTGATGGGCAAGACAACCAACGCCGTGGGGCCGCTGGACAGTGTTGAGTCCAGCAACGGCTACAGCTTCATGGAGGTGAAACCGGGGAGGATCCTGCGGGTGCGGCACAGCGCACCCCCCCGCGCGGCCCCGGAGGGTACTGAGGAGCCGCAGCACCTGCGGGGTACCGTGCACTGCAAGCGCAGGATCACCGTGTACCGCAACGGGCAGCTGGTGATCGAGAACCTGGGCGATGCCGTCCGCTCCGAGATCCTGCACTGCCACAGTGGCTCCGGGGAGCCCAACAGCACCGTGGAGCTGGAGCTGTCGGAGGTGGCCGGGCAAGCTCCCACACAGGGTCCTGCCGGCACACCAGGATGTGCCACGCGGGAAGCTGCTGCTGCCCCAGGGAAGCGGCGGAAGCGTAAGCCCAAGAAAGTCATCACCATCGACTGCAAGAAGCAGATCACGAGCTGCAAAGGGACACACAGCGACGTGGTCCTGTTCTTCATCCATGGCGTGGGGGGCTCGCTGGACATCTGGAAGGAGCAGCTGGACTTCTTTGCCAAGCTGGGCTATGAAGTGGTGGCTCCTGACCTGGCCGGCCACGGCTGCAGCTCCGCGCCGCAGATTGCTGCAGCATACACCTTCTATGCGCTGGCTGAGGACATGAGGGCCGTGTTCAAGCGCTATGCCAAGAAGAGGAACATCTTGATAGGACACTCATATGGGTAAGGGACCAGGGGTCCCAGGAGGGTGTATTCGTCCCCCCACCTTGTCCTCTCCTTGGTAGCAAGCACCCACCAGAGCCTGCGCTTGAAGGAGAAGCAGAGGAGGGCTGTGGGGTTATCCCTCAGTTCTGATCTGCTGCATCTTGGTGTGTGTCTCTGGGTGCAGCTAATCCCAGAGCACAGCCTATAAATAGATAAGCCCAAGCAAGTCAATTACATGGAGACTAAGCTGTGCAGAAAGCAGAGCTTGGAGGAAAGGGAACTGAAGCCAGGCTCCGGCAGGATTAGATCGAAAGCACAAGGCTGGTCCAGGCTGGTGAGCACCCAAATAGGTCCCAGCACCCTGCTGTGGTTGTGCTCAGCCCCTCTGCCCAGGCTCTGCAGGGCACCAGCTGTGGGGTTTGACTGGGGTTACCCTGCCCCAGAGAGGTGCCCCCACAGGTCAAACAGGAGGAGCTCTGGCCATGGATCCTTGGGATCAGCCTTGGGATGCGGCATCCTCAATGCCATGGGGTCGGACCATGGTCCCCATGTCTGTCTCTCCTCACAGGGTGTCCTTCTGCACCTTCCTTGCCCACGAGTACCCAGACCTGGTCCATAAGGTGATCATGATCAATGGAGGAGGCCCAACAGCACTGGAGCCCAGTCTCTGCTCCATCTTCAACATGCCCACCTGCGTGCTGCACTGCCTGTCCCCCTGCCTGGCCTGGAGCTTCCTCAAGTGAGTGTCCATCCCGTGCCCTGCCAGCAGTGTCCCCCATGCTTCCATCCCCCCCGTGCCGCCGGATTAACCCTCTGCCCGTGCTGGCTCCATCCCACAGGGCTGGCTTTGCTCGCCAGGGTGCCAAAGAGAAGCAGCTGCTGAAGGAAGGCAATGCCTTCAACGTGTCCTCCTTCGTGCTGCGCGCCATGATGAGTGGGCAGTACTGGCCCGAGGGGGACGAGGTTTACCACGCAGAGCTGGCTGTGCCCGTGCTCCTGGTCCATGGCATGCACGACAAGTTCGTCCCCGTGGAGGAGGACCAGCGAATGGCTGAGGTATGGGACGGAGCTGGGCTGGGTGAGGGCTCTGCAATGCAGAGGGCTCATCCCAGCACTGACCCCCACTGCTGTGTCCCTGCAGATCCTGCTCATTGCCTTCCTGAAGGTGATCGATGAGGGCAGCCACATGGTGATGATGGAATGTCCCGAGACAGTAAACACGCTGCTCCACGAGTTCGTCCTGTGGGAGCCCGAGACACCAGCAGGGGACGGGCAAGGGGAGAAGAAATAAGGCAGCAGGACGTGGTGACCGGGCTGCTCCCATGGCAGAGATGTTTCGGAGTGGAGCGGAGGCCGCCCTCACCAGGAGCTCAGCCCCTTTTCTTTCCCGGCCATGGTGGAGGCTGGTGGTGGAGCACGGAGGCTCCCCTGGGCACGAGGCCGGCAGCAGGATCACGGCAAGACCTGGTCCCCATCCCTTTGGGGACAGCACGGCAGCCGCTGGAGCGACTTCATCCTCTTACTTTGTAGTATTCTTTTCCTCCGGGGACAGAGAGGAGGCAACTGTGGGGAGGCTGCTCCCACTGCAGCAAAACGGGAAGAACTGGGAATGTTCCTCCAGGGAGAGGGTATCAGCTCCGGCTGCAGGAGCTGAGCTGGGATTGCTTTGAGGAGAAGCCAGAAGCTCCTTGGCCTTCAGGGCCTTATTGCTATGGTGGCCAGCAGCTCCTGCCTGCACAGCCAGGAGGTGAGGATGAGGAGGTGGCCTGCTCCTGTGGGCACAGAAGGGCCGTCAGCTCCCGCTGCGGTGGGACTGGCATGGCTGTGGTGGGGAGGACAACACCAACCCGGAGCTCTCCTGCTGTCCCCATCCCTGCAGTCACGTCCCCAACCACCATCGCTTTATGTGCCACAGCGTTGGCTTCTGCTCCCTCCCGCTGCTGCATCCTCGAGGTGTCAGAGCCATCAACATGCAGCAACTCCCACAGCTCCACTCGCCCTTCCCAGCTTCCAGCTCCTCCATGACTCCAGGACTCACCACCTGCTCCTGGACCCCATTCCCACCAGGATAACACCCATCTCTCACTGCACTGGGGGAGCAGCAATACACCATCCCCTTGCCGCTCTGTCTGGCCTTGCTGATGACTCCTGTATGGATCCATGGGGTCTTGGAGCAACACAGCAACACTGGAGCAAACCACAACCTCCTGATGGCAACAGACGCCAGGCTGTTACCTGCTGATCCTGTTCTGTACATAACCCACTGACCCAGCAGCTACTCCCCTCTGCGCTTCGCATCCCGCTGCCAGGAGCTGGGCAGGACCCAGAAGGTACATGAGAAGTGTTGAGGGGGACCCGGGCACTGCCATAGGGATACACTGGGACGTGGGAGCCAGAGCAAGCCAGTGGGATGCTGCAGCTTCCCCAGAGAGCTGCTCCCTGCTTTGCTTCCCTCTTATTTCCCTCCATCTAAACCAAAGAAACACCCAAGCCCATGAAAACCTCACCCTTGCCCTATATCCCAACCCAGCCCCTCCTCACCCCAATGGGGCTGAGACCACACCAAGGCAACCAGTGTGGCTCCAGGGGCTCCTGGCAGGGCCCTGGGTCCGTGCAGGACCCACCTGCACCGCAGCTTCCCCATGGCTGAGCCCAGCTTGTCCACAGACTGAGTAATGAAGAGAGGAAGGGCCCTGTGGAGCCAGCCTGGTGGTGACCCTGGGTGAGGGGTGTCCCCAGCAGCCCCTGCCCTACCACCACAACCTGTCTCATAATGAGAATTTTAATGCCCCTGGGTTCAGATGGTTTCCACGAGCCCCTCCCCTGCAGCACCCTTCCCACGCCATCCTGGCCAGGGAACCCCACACAGCACCCCAGGGTTTGCAATGAGGGCACCCAGAAACACCACTGTACCCCAAAACACGGCTTTGCACCAACTGTGACATCCCCCCGGGCAGCTCCTCGTGTCCAGCTCCAGGCCACAGCTCCTCAAGCTCCATTGGCCACGGAGCCTGTGTCCTTGTACCCACATTGCTCACGCTGAGGCCAAGGCAAACCGCGCACCCTGAGCCCGCTGCTGCGCTAGTGCCATATCCCCAGTAAAGCTGTGTTCTATCCTGTGTCTGAGTCCATGGGGAAGCGATGTGCCAGGCACAGGGGAGAGGCCTGGGAAGGGAAGGCAGGAACCACAGGGAGCTTGGATTTCTTAGCCAAAATAAAAGACCTGCAGTGATTTATTTATCCCCTTGGAGACAAAGAGAGAAACTCTCCTCAGTGTTCACGACATCAAACCTGTACACAGAGCACAGCCACCTCCTGAGGCAGGGCAAGAGGGGAGGTGCAGGCACAGGTTACCCCCCCCCCAGCACAGCATCCCAGGGTGTTCAGCGCCCACCCTGGATGTCCACTGGCCGGAGCTGCCGCTCGCCCTCAGCGAGGAAGATGCTCATGGCCCTGTGCAGCATGTGAACGCCAAGGCGCCGGCGCCGTGCCACCGGCCAGTGTGCCACCGCGCCGTAGCACAGCCCCTTCCTCTGGTTGGTGATGGTCTGCAGCCCTGTGGGGACAGGGTCACCACCCACTGACCCAGCCCCCTGCTTCCCCCAGCACCCACAGGGATGGAGGCAACCCCCTGCTTCCCCCAGCACCCACAGGGATGGAGGCAACCCCCTGCTTCCCCCAGCACCCACAGGGATGGAGGCAACCCCCTGCTTCCCACAGCACCCAGAGGGATGGAGGCAACCCCATGGGTCCTCCCCCACCAGCGGCTCTTCCCACAGGAGATAGGTTTTGAGGGGTTCTGCTCAGCCCCTGAACTGGCAGCTGGGGACCCCAAAGTCCCAAGTGTCTCAGGGTGGGCTGCATCCCCTGGCCTCCTGCATGGTGTGGAAGAGGGGGATGCAGGGAGGCAGAGTGGTGGCAGAGCCCATGCTGGGGCCCTGTGGCAGCACCCAGCCCCACTCACCCACCCAGAGCCTCCACCAAGCAGCCTTCCCGTGTGTACGCCTCCGCTGGGACCGTGCTCTGGAAGCAGTGCACAGAGAGCACCCCGTGTCCGCTCGCCCAGATCTCCAGGATGCGCCGCACCTTGGGACAGCCCTGTGGGACAACGGGCACCGTCACCACGGTCCCAAACCCCCTGTGGCCATCCCCGTGGCCCCAAACCCCAGCAGCGCATCCCACCTTCTGTGTGCCAGCATGGTGCTGGCCCAGCGCCTCGGTGAGGTGGCAGTAGGGCCGCGTGCGTGTCCCCTTGCCCACATAGAAGATGGCCTGGATGAAGGTCCTGAAGCACTCAGCCGGGCTCAGGCAGTGCGAGCGGAGCGGCAGGTTCTGGGTGATCCTAGGGGTGCAAACCCCCAGCTTTGGGGCTCGATGCCTCTCAGGGGCCCCTGCTGGAACCTCCAACACTGGGGACATGCGGGGCAGCAGCATGGCCCTACCTGGGGTCGAGGAGGAGGTAGTTGAAGCTGGACTTGACCAGCCCTTCCCGCCAGGGCCGGTTCCGCTTGGGGTTGTCGAACTCCTGCCTCAGCACCAGCTCGTCCTGGGTGCAGTCAGGGATGAGGCCGCTCTGCAGGGCGGCCGCCAGCTCCGGGCTGTGCCCTGGAGCATCCCCAATGGCACAGGGAGCACCATCAGCCCCAGTGCCACCGGGAGCACCATCACCCCCAATGGCACCGGGAGCACCACCAGCCCCACACCAGTCCAGAGGGACCAGCCAGGCCACGGGGGACCCCAGCACTCACCCGTTTGCCCGTTCCGGGGTGTCCTCCGCAGCTCCTCCAGCCGCCGCAGGTAGAGCTGCCTGGTGAGCGCCGTGACGGGCCCTGGCTCATCCCCCAGCGCCCGCAGCCGCCGGCGCAGGCCTTCATCCGAGAGGGGCTGCAGCGGTGCCGTGTGTCCGTGGCCAGGGCGGTGGCGCTCAGTGGGTGCCCGGTCCCGCTCCTCGCGCTCGAGGTGCTCTTGGGTGCTGGGGGGCACGGCCGGGGCCTGCGGTGCCAGGAGGCGGCAGAAGCGCCTGTGGAGCCACAGGGGCTGTGGTGCCCCCAAGGGTGAAGCGTCCTGGCACCCAGAGCCACCTTCCAGCGCCCTGAAGGTGGCACAGGGGGAGCCCTGAGCATCTGTTGGGGGGCACTGGGGGGCCCCAGGGACCAGCAGCACTGTGGGGCTGGAGCCAGGGGAGCCCTGAGCATCTGATGGAGGGCACTGGGGGTGCCTGTGATCCCCAGCGACCAGCAGCACTGTGGGGCTGGATCCAGAGGAGCCCTGAGCATCTGATGGAGGGCACTGGGGGTGCCCACAGTTCCCAGGGACCAGCAGCACCGTGGGGCTGGATCCAGAGGAGCCCTGAGCATCTGATGGAGGGCACTGGGGGTGCCCACAGTTCCCAGGGACCAGCAGCACTGTGGGGCTGGATCCAGAGGAGCCCTGAGCATCTGATGGAGGGCACTGGGGGTGCCCACAGTTCCCAGGGACCAGCAGCACCGTGGGGCTGGAGCCAGGGGAGCCCTGAGCATCTGATGGAGGGCACTGGGGGTGCCTGTGATCCCCAGGGACCAGCAGCACCGTGGGGCTGGATCCAGAGGAGCCCTGAGCATCTGATGGAGGGCACTGGGGGTGCCTGTGATCCCCAGGGACCAGCAGCACTGTGGGGCTGGAGCCAGGGGAGGTGCTGGGGGCTCCGGGAAGGAGCACAGTGTCACCCAAAGAGCCTGTCTCCTCTCCATCCCCACTGCACACATCCGTGCCCTGTGGGGTGACACAGCGCCCTGAGGTGGTAGCAGGATCTCTGGGGACACCCCGGGGTGCTCTGACCCTGGGGGGCCTCCGTGGCATCTCCAGTGTGTCAGCAAAAACGGAGGAGGAAGAGGAAGCACCGAAGCGCTCTGCAGAGGCCAGGAGGCGGCTCCGGGTCCTGGGAGTGACATGGTGGTACATGGGGGGCTCCCGCGGGGTGACATCCCCAGTGAGGAGCCTGGGAAGAGGCCCTGGGGTGGAGGGGGGGGATCCCTGGAGGCTGCACCCCTGGAGCTGGGTGAGGAGCTCCCCTACATCACCCGTGTCCGAAGCATCCTCACTGCAAGGGGCTGCCCTCGAGGCTCCCCTGAAACCTCCACCCTCCACCTGCTCTGGGGCTGGGGAGATGGGGGGGGGTTGCAGCTCCATGGTGCCAGCTCCGTTTGGGGAAGGGGCTTCACCCAGCTCCAGCCCCGTGGAGCAGCAGCACTGAGCCCCTAGGCTCTCCAGGGCACTAACGAAGCACTCGCTGTCACTGCTGCTGTCCCCAGGGCTGCCACCGTGCCCGGGAGCCTCAGGGAGTGCCCCGTGTTTCCCCAAGACCCTGCTGCAGCGCTGGGGCTGGCACAGGGACCCACCAGGACCAAGCACCTGCGGAGGACAGGGACTGGGGACAACCCGAGTGCAAAGCTGTGGGAGAAGCTCGGGGGTACCCCCTGAACCTCCCACCATGGTCCTCTTCCAGGGTCCCTCCCTGAGCTCATCCCCATCTGAGAGCAGCGTGCTGGAGGCGAGGGGATGCGGGAGCACAGCTGAGCCCCCGGGGTCCCCCTGGGGCCATGGGGCAAGGGAGGGGATGGAGACGAATGGGAGAGGTCCCCTCAAACCACTGCAGTCCCCTGGCTCCTGCAGCAGGGACCCAGCCTCGGGGAGCGCAGCGCATATGCTGCCGTCGGTGGCATCCTCAGTCAGGAAGGACAGGGAGCGCCGGGCCCCCCCTGGGTCTGGGAACAGAGATGGAGGTCAGTGTCCACCTCAGACGGCGGGGGGGGGGAGAGACGTGGATGAGCTCCCCAGCACCAGCCAAGGGGTGCCCCGGGGTCCTCACCCTCTGCAGGAGGCCATCCCCAGGCGCGCTGTGACCCCCAGTCCTGCAGGAGCCACGCTCCGTGTCCCCGCTGCCGGTCCATGGCTCCTTTCCCATCCTGCAGGGCGAGGACACGACTGTCACCAGCACCGCTGCCAGGGCCACCAAAGGGGTACACGGCCGCCGCGGGGCCCGGCGGGCACCCACCCCATGATGACGAGGTCCCAGCACAAGCAGCAGCTCCAAGGTGCAGGAGCAGCCCGAGCCCCTGACTCCCGGGAACCCCGAGTTACTGCCGGCCCAGCTCAGGGTCAGGGGCTGTGGCTCAGCCGCACCTCAGCACCCCCCATGCTCCTTAGGGGGCCCTGCAGCGTGCGGACACCCCTGTGCCACCACCCCCCCGCTCCCCGCACCCTCCTAGTGCCGGCACCGGGGAGGACCCCCCCATACCCCGGGTCGGTGCATGTAGGGGTACCCCGGAGCTGCAGCACACGCGACGTGACCCCTCCCGATGCAACGGCGGGACTGCGGAGACTGCGCGCACCTCACGCCCCCAGTCCCGGTGTCCCCTCCCGTCCCCTCCCGTCCCGTCCCGTCCCGTCCCGTCCCGCTCACCCCCGGTCCCGGTCCGCCTTCGGTTCGCGCAGCCCCGCACCGTTCATACCGCGCACGCGCAGCGAACCCCACCCGTTCGAACGCCTCGCGCGCTGGCGCTCCGCCCTCTCATTGGCTGGTGAGCGCAGTGGAAGGCGGGGAGGGGCGGGGCTAAAGCTCCCAGTGACCGCACCAGTGCTCCCAGTGCCCTGCACTGGCATCGCCCAGCGCGTCCCAACAGCCACACCGTCACTGCCCAGTATCCCCCATATCCGCACTGCCCTTCGGGGTCCCCACACAAGCACCACCAGCCACAACCCACCCCACATCCAGGGGTGACACCAACCTCCTGTCCCCCAGTTCCCAACCCGGTGCAGGAGCCACAGCATCAGCACAACACGGCTCAGGAATCACCCCTTCTCTTTCCCCCAGCACCATTCCCGTGCCGGTATCCCCCCGGTTCCCCCTGGCTCAGATGGTGGCCTCGATCTCCTGGGGCTCGTCCTCCTCCAGCAGCCCGTAGGCTGCGTGCGTCTGGAACGGGCGCTGCAGCGGATGCGCCAGCAGCTTGGCCATGCAGTTGTGCAGCTCCACGGCAGGCCCCGACAGCAACACTTCATACTTATAGTTGGTGCCTTTGGTGTCCAGGCTGCTGAAGAAGCTGTACATCTCCTGGGGAGGGGACACAGAGGGTTGAGATGTCCCCTGCCATGGTGGAGAGGATGCCCCGGCCCGCATTTACCTTCCAGCTTGTCTCATCATCCTTCTCCTCCACCCCGTTGTGGATGTAGACAATGTCAAAGAAGAAGTAGGGACACTGCAGCATCTTCTGCAGGGTGAGAAGCCGGGAATGGCTCTTCCACACGCTGGGATGGACCCAGAGCTGCCAAGCTCACCCAGAGTGGGAACAAGGTGAGGATCTACCTTCATGTGCTCTGACATGGAGAACTGGGGCTGGCAGCCTGGGCGGCCAAACACCAGGATGGTCCGGACCACATAAGGTGGAGGGATGGTCTGAACGTTCTCCGTCACTGGCAGCTCAATCTTCTGCTGGCTGCAGGAGGATGGAGGCAGCTCAGAGAACAACACCCCAACAGCTCCAGGCTGGAGGTGGGGAAGCAGCACCTCCCCCAGGAGCTCTTTGGGGTGATGTTCTTATAGCCAAGCAGAAGACTGGGGATCCCAACCCCCCCGCAGCTGTACTCACATCAGGTTGAAGAGTCCTTCCAGATCTGCAGCCCCAGGTAAGGACAGATCCCAGCACCCAGACCCCTGCCCACCCCACGGAACTCCTGCACCCTCTATGGTGGGAGGTGATGGCACTGGGCACCCCGGATGGACCACGGTGGGGAGAAAACACCAATAAGTGAGTGTTTGGTGGGTCTGGAGGCTCCCGTGTTAAACTGGGCTTGGTTTGATCCCCCGGCTTCACAGGCTCACTCAGCTGCCAGGATGCCAGTGAGCTGCTGCCACCTGCAGGCAACGGGCTTGGGGGATCCCCCCTTACGCTCAAGTGACCCTGTTTTGCAACCAAAGAACCCCCTTTGCACCCTTGCAGGGTCCTGGCCCCTCCCCATCCCAGCCCCATAGGTGGTGGGATACTGAAGGACTTGCAGACGACGGTCTCCAGGTCATAGAGGCAGCTGCAGACCTCGCGGGGGTCCGAGGTGAACCCTGAGAGCTGAAAGGAACCGGGGTGAGGGGGCGAGGAGCCATCCCCGTCCCCATCCCATCCCACCCCACCCCATCCCCACTCACCCAGGTGGCATCGTTGTTCACCACCACCAGCGCGAACTCGTGGCACTTGTCAATCTTGTGCTTCGTCCTCACAAACATCTCGATCATCTTCTGCGAGATGTTCAGCGCGTTGCTCTTGGACCTGCCGCCGGGGCCAGCGCTCAGCACGGACCCCTCGGTGCCCGCGCCGGGATGGGGGTCCCGGTGCCAGCCCAGCCAGGAGCACCCCCAGCACTCACCCGTTAAAGGACTCCAGCTTGGGCAGCGCCATCTCCTCCGCCAGATCCAAGCAGATGATCTGTGTGGGACAGCACCGTGCCTGAGCGCCCCCCGCCGCCCCTCACCGCCGCTCGGGCCGCCCCGCGCTCACTCACCACCTTCTCGGGGCAGTTCACGCGCGGGGTCCGGACCTGCACCTCGGCGGGCGGCGCGGGGCCGGGCCAGGCGGGGCCGTGGGGCGCGGGGGCCGTGCCCTGGGGGCTGCCGTCGGCGCTGGCCGCCTCGCCCTCGCCCTCGCTGCGGTTACCGACGCTGCTCTGGGCGCTCAGCGCCCGGTCCTCGGCACCCTCCGGGTTCGAGCGGGTTCGGGGCCGCGGCTCCGGCGCCTTCTCCTCCTCCTCCTCAGCGGCGCTGCCCGGCTCCGCCGGCTCCATCCCGCAGCCGCGCTGCAGCGGGGCGCGACGCCGGTGCCTGGGGGGGGTGGAATCGGTGCTGACGGCGCCCCCCGGACCCCGGCTTTGGGCACCCCCGGCCCCAGCCGCTCCCCGAACCCTCCCAACGGACCCCTGCGACCCCCGGACCAGGAACCCCCTTTCCCACCCCCCACCCCCCCCATCCCGTCCCACCCAACCCCCACTCCTCGCACCCACCCCCCCGGCCCGCGCTCACCGATCTCGGACTCACGAGCCCCGCCCGGCACCGACCGGAACCGGATACGCGCCGGGGCTGCTGGGAATTGTAGTTCCCAGGGGAGGCGTCCCCGTGGGGCACCGCAAACACCCGCGTACCCCACATACCCATGTACCCCCTGCACCCCAAGTACCCATCTACCCCCTGCACCCCAAATACCCATGTACCCCCTGCATCCCAAATACCCATGTACCCCCTGCACCCCACATACCCATGTACCCCCTGCACCCCAAATACCCATGTACCCCCTGCATCCCAAATACCCATGTACCCCCTGCACCCCACATACCCATGTACCCCCTGCACCCCAAGTACCCATCTACCCCCTGCACCCCAAATACCCATGTACCCCCTGCACCCCACATACCCATGTACCCCCTGCACCCCAAGTACCCATCTACCCCCTGCACCCCACATACCCATGTACCCCCTGCACCCCAAGTACCCATGTACCCCCCGCACCCCAAGTACCCATGTACCCCCTGCACCCCATATACCCATGTACCCCCTGCACCCCACATACCCAGGTACCCCCCCTGCACCCCAAATACTCATGTACCCCCTGCACCCCACATACCCATGTACCCCCTGCACCCCACATACCCATGTACCCTCCCTGCACCCCACATACCCATGTACCCCCCTGCACCCCACATACCCATGTACCCCCTGCACCCCACATAACCATGTACCCCTGCACCCCAAATACCCATGTACCCCCTGCATCCAAATTACCCATGTACCCCCTGCATCCAAATTACCCATGAACCCCCTGCATCCCAAATACCCATGTACCCCCTGCATCCCAAATACCCAGGTACCCCCCCTGCACCCCAAATACTCATGTACCCCCTGCACCCCACATACCCATGTACCCCCTGCACCCCACATACCCATGTACCCTCCCTGCACCCCACATACCCATGTAACCTCCCTGCACCCCACATACCCATGTACCCCCCGCAGCCCACATACCCATGTACCCCCCTGCACCCCACATACCCATGTACCCCGTGCACCCCACATAACCATGTACCCCTGCACCCCAAATACCCATGTACCCCCTGCATCCAAATTACCCATGTACCCCCTGCATCCAAATTACCCATGAACCCCCTGCATCCCAAATACCCATGTACCCCCTGCATCCCAAATACCCATGTACCCCCTGCACCCCAAATACCCATGTACCCCCCCTGCACCCCAAATACCCATGTACCCCCCTGCATCCCAAATACCCATGTACCCCCTGCACCCTACATACCCATGTACCCCCCCTGCACCCCACATACCCATGTACCCTCCCTGCATCCCAAATACCCATGTACCCCCTCTGCACTCCACATACCCATGTACCCCCTGCACCCCAAATACCCATCTATGCCCTGCACCCCAAATACCCATGTACCCCCGCTGCACCCCAAATACCCATGTACTCCCTGCACCCCACATACTCATGTACCTCCTGCACCCCAAATACCCATGTACCCTCTGTACCCCAAATGCCCATGCACTCCCTGCACCTATGTGCTGCTCCTGCACCCCAAATATTTGTTTACCCACCTGTACTGTAAATACCCCTTGCAGCTCCCCTTTGCGCCCCATACACCACCCTGCAGCACTTAAACACCCTCACACTGCCCACAGCACTCCTGAGCTGGGTCCCCCATGGCCCTGCACCCTCTAGCACCCTACACAATGCCTTCCAGCACCCCACATGCTCGCATACCCCTCTGCACCCTCAGATGTCCCCCTAAAACTCCAAGGGGTGCTCAAGGACACAAAGCTGGGTGTGTCCTGCTGCTTAGGTGCAATGTGGGGCTGGGGTGCTATGGGGCAGAGCAGTGAAGACAGTGTTGGGGGGCAGAGCCTCCCAAGATGGCTGCAGCACGGTAATGGGGCAGCGCAATGGTTAAGTGCAGGAGGCTGCACCGGGGCTTTGAGGAAGAGGAAATCTCAGCAGGAACAAGGACAGGGAAAGGCCCAGGGAAGGGCCGGAGGCAGAGCCAGGACGTGCCGGGAGCCCCAAGCGGCGCCCTGGGACGAGCCCTGGCCAGGGGTGCTGCTGGCGCAGGCAGGAGGCGGCGGGGATGGAGAAGGCAAGTGGGGTGTCCCATGGGATGGGCACTGCCAGGGGCTTGCTCCCACATCGCTGGGGCTTCCTCGTGCCCCCTGCGGGTGTCCCTTGGCCATGGGTGCCCCTGGTAGCTGCAAATCCTGGTGGGCACCAGGAACCTTCAAGCCCTGGTGCCAGCTGGGGCTGGGGTGGATGGATGGATAGATGAAGGGATAGACGGATGGATGGATGGATGGATGGATGGATGGATGGATGGATGGATGGATGGATGGATGGAGGGATGGATGGATGGATGGATGGATGGAGGGATGGGTGGGTGGGTGGATGGATGGAAGGACAGACACTCCTGCAGCCCCCACAGCCTGCAGAGGGAAAAGAGGAAAAAGAGGACAAAAAGGACGAGGATGGTGAGAAGACGGAGGAGGACATTGAGGGCATCCTGCGCTATGAGGAGTGCATTGCTGGGCTGCTGGCCACAGTGGCCCAACTGCACCGGAGAGCAGAGCAGCTCCAGTGCCGCACCAGCAGGTACCAGAACGCTGCGGCCATGGGGCACGGGGATGTGGCACTGCCCTGGTGCATCCCGCTTCTGTTCTTCACCCTGCAGGGAGGATGAGGAGGGCTGGGAGGGCACCACCAGCCTCCCTACTGCCAGCCCACAGCAACACCGCTTCGACGACACGCTCAGTGCTGCCACGGGTCTGGGAGGTGAGCGCACTGTGCGTGCCATGCTGCGCCATGCTGCGCCATGCTGCGCCATGCTGTGCCATGCTGCGCCATGCTGTGCCATGCTGCCCCATGCTGCGCCATGCTGCGCCATGCTGCGCCATGCTGCGCCATGCTGTGCCATGCTGCGCCATGCTGTGCCATGCTGCGCCATGCTGCAGGGACCTCACCCTGTACTCCCTCTCCCCAGCCCACAGCTCCGACCTCTTCGCGGACCTGCAGAACGTCGTGAGCTCGCTGGAGCGCACCGTGTTCTCCCGGCACCAGCGCGCACCGGTGCGGCCTGCGCCCAGCAAGGAGTGGGCACGAGCGGCCAAGGTGAGCCCCAGCAGCATGGTCAGCCCAGACGCCAAGTGGATGGGCACCGGTTGACCGGCTCCCTGCATCCCCAGAGCCTGGAGGAGCTGGACCGGAGCCCGGGCCGGGCCGGGCGGGCAATGGGACAGGCTCTGGAGGAGGCAGCGGCAGAGGAGGCGGCGGTGGCGGTGGCGGCAGCGGCACTGGCATCGAGGAACGCGGCGCTGCGGGCAGCCCTGGGGCACCGCCAAGAGGAGCTGAGCCGGGCCACGGCGGCGCTGCGGGTGCTGCGGGGGGAGCGCGACCGGCTGCAGCTCAAGGTGGGCGCCGTGGGCAAGGTGAGGGTGGGGGCGAGGCCCTGGGTGCCAGGGCTCAGCCCGGTGCGTGGTGTAGGTTCGCGACTTGCGGGATGCTCTGTCCAGGCTGGAGGAGCCGGGGGGCTCCGGGAGTGACACCGCCGGGGTCGGAAGCCCCCCGGTGCACAGGGAACCCCAGGTGAGTGCACGGTGGAGCCTGCCCCGGTGCCGTGCTCCTCCTGTCTCGGTGCCGGGCTCTGCCTTGTCCCGGTGTCAGTCTCGGTGCCGGGCTCTGCCTTGTCCCGGTACCTGTGCCGGTACCGGGCTCTGCCTGTCCCCTCTGCAGGACTCGCCCCAGTGCAGTGAGGATGCTCAGCCCCACAACCCCCTCCCCCCCCAACCCTCGGAGGGTCCCAGCCAAGAGCAGCAGGAGCGGGTGCAGCAGCTGCAGGGGTGAGTGTGTCCCCCACCTCCTCACTGATGGGGAAACCGAGGCAAGGGCCGCAGTTAACGGTGGGTGCCAGATCCCTGGCGAGGCTGCAGGAGGTGAACCGGGAGCTGGCGGCCGCGCTGCAGGACTGCAAGAGCGACGCGGAGCGGCTCAGCATGGTGCTGGGGCAGCACGAGTCCTGCAGCACCGCGCTGCGCCTGGCCCTGCGCTGCAGGTGGGGACGCGGGGACATGGGGACACGGCGGGGACACAGCCCGCGGTGCCACACTGAGCTCCTCTCCCTGCAGCGAGCGCTGCGGGGGGGCCTACGCCGCCCTCCTTGACCTGATGTGGACAAAGGTGCGCCGGGAGGAGTATGGGGCCCAGGGGGGTGAGTGACAACTGGTGGGCTGCTGGGGGGAGCTGGGGAGTTCATGGGAAGGATGCGGGGGGGGGGATGTGCGAGGAACATGGGAATGTCAGGGGATGAAGAGGGGATGTGGGAGGGATGCACAAGGGGTGCTGGATGGTGTCAGGAGGATGTTGGGGGGATGTGGGGGGGATGCAGGGGGGTATCGAGGGGTAATGCAGGGAGATATTTAGGAGATGCAGGGAGATATTAAGGGAATGCACGGAAGTTGTCGGGAGGATGCTGGGAAAATGAATGTGGTTATCAGGGGGATGCAGGATTGATGCTGGCGGACCCTAGTCCCCAGCACAGTCCCCTTGGGAATACACACGGAAGAGGGACATGACCACTGCCTGCCTCATGCTTAGGAGACATGGGGCAGCAGAGCCCGGGGTATGGATGGGTGTCCAGCCCCACACCAGCAGAGGGGCTACAGTTCCAGGGCCGAGTGGAGCCGAATGGGCAGGAGGAGAGTGGGGACAGCAGCTCCACCGCACTGCAGAGGTACCAGGATGAGAGCGGAGCACAATGCTGGGCTGTGCCCAGGGTGCCACCGTGTCCCCTGTGCCCACCCAAACCAGCACCCTCATCCTGCAGCACGCCAGCACCGCGCGGGATGGAGGAAGGGGCCCTTCGTGAGCACATCCGCCGGCTGCGCGCGGAGCAGGCGGCCGTGGAGGCTTCTCTGCAGGACCCCCCAGCACCCAGCAGCACCCACCGCAGCGAGGACACCCGGGCCCGCGCCGAGCGGGTGCTGCAGGAAGCTCGGGCTCAGCTGCCCGGCTGGAGACGGCCAGAGAAAGCAGAGCTGCTGCAGGAGCTGGCGATGCTCAAGGTGGGATGTTGTGGAGCTGAGCATGGGTCTCTTCCCGGCTCTCTGCAGAGAAGGCTGTGTGGAGACCTCAGAGCAGCTTCCAGTATCTGAAGGGGGCTACAGTGATATGGGAGAAAGACTTTTCATCTGGGACTGTAGTGATAGGACAAGGGGTGATGGGTTTAAACTTAAACACGGGAAGTTCAGGTTGGAGATAAGGCAGAAGCTCTTCCCTGAGAGAGTGGTGAGGTGCTGGCACAGGGTGCCCAGAGAAGTGGTAAATGCTCCATCCCTGACAATGTCCAAGGCCAGGTTGGGCAGGTTGGGTGACACGGTCTAGTGTAAGACATCCCTGCCCACAGTAGTGGGTTGGAACTGGATGATCTTTTCCAACCCAAACCATTCCATGATTCTATGATCTGAGCCATAGAGCTGAGAGAAGGGCAGGGGGTGATGCATAGCAAGAGGAAATGGAGTTGTGCCTCAGTTTCCCCATCCTAGTGACGCTGCTGCTGCCCTGCCAGGAGGCCATGGCTGACTTGAAGATGCGGTTGCAGCTGGTGGAGAGGGAAAAGCAAGGTCTAGAGGTGCTGGAAGCTGCGCAGGGCCCGCGGGAGTCTGCATTGCACCTGGTGCTCCAGCACCTGCAGTGGGAGAGGGATGAGGGGTTCGGCCACCCCCCCAGCAGCTCTAGCAGCAGCAAGGAGGTGAGGATTGCTCCCACCTCCCCATGGGGACCTTCCCCAGGGGCTGGAGGTCTCCCCAGGGATGGGACCCACATCCAGCTTCTGCAGGATGCCCAAAGTAGCCAGGTGGGAGCAGCGGCTCCTGGGTACCCTCCGGGCCCGGCGAGGATGGGTGAAGAGCTGCTTCGTACCATGAGCCGGTAAGAGCCCTCCCTGGCCATGCCATGGTGAGCCGTGCCAGGCTCAGGGACATTGCAGACATGGGGATGTCCCCCAGGACAGAGGAGCTGCGCGCCCGGGCACAGGCCCTGGTGCGTGCCCTGGAGGAGAGCAGTGCCATCAGCCGCGCGCAGCAGGCGCAGTGTGTCACCGTCACTGCGGACTTCTTCCATGCTCACAGGTAGGCACAAGGCTCCTCCATCGGGCACGTGCTGGGTGCAACATCGCCTCGTACACCCCTAGGTGCCTTCCTGCGTGTCCTGGTTGCACATCACCCCCTGCTTGCTCCAGATCCCTTCTTGCACATCCGCAGTGTGTGGTTCCTACCTCCACAATCCCTTCTTCCGCAACCCCCTAAAAGTACAGTCCCTTCTTGCACCCCCCCAAAACTCTATCCTATATTGCATATCCCCAATGGGTGGTCTTTCCCTGCACACCCCAAAAACACAGTCCCTCCCTGCACACCCCCAAATGTGTGATCCCTTCTTGCAAACCCCAAAAGCACTGTCCCACCTTGCACATCCCAAAACTGCAGTCCCATATTGCACACCCCCAAAGCATGGTCCCATCTTGCACATCCCTGATACCCAATCCCTTCCCGCACTCACTCCAAAAGCACATTCCCAATTTGCACACCCCAAACCACGGTCCAATGTTGCACATCCTGTCCTTTGCACACCTTAGAAACATAGTCCCACCTTGCACACCCCTACCGTGTCATCCCCTCCTGCACACCCCAAGAGCTCTGTCTCTTCTTGCACACCCCAAACCTGGGTCCCCCAGTCACAGTCCCCTCGGTGCGGTGCTGAGCATGGTGCGGGTGCAGTGCGGTGACAGTGGTGCTCGGTGGTGCCGAGTGTGGTGCTGAGCGCGGTGCAGTGCTCAGTGAGGTGCTGAGCGCAGTGAGATGTTCAGTGCGGTGCCTGGTGCGGTGCTAAGCGCGATGCTGAGCGCGGTGCCCGGTGCGGTGCTCAGCGCGGTGCTGAGCGCGGTGCTCAGTGCGGTGCTCAGTGCGGTGCTCAGTGCGGTGCTCAGTGCGGTGCTGAGCGCGGTGCTGAGCGCGGTGCTGAGCGCGGTGCTCAGTGCAGTGTTCAGTGCGGTGCTCAGTGCGGTGCTCAGTGCGGTGCTGAGCGCGGTGCTGAGCGCGGTGCCGGTGCCCCCAGCGCGCTGGCCCTGGCGTACCGCGGCGCCCGGCGGAAGCAGGCGGCTCAGCTGCGGCGGCTGGAGGGGCAGGCGGGGGCCCTGCGCAGGCAGCACGCCCGGCAGACGCAGGCGCTCACCCGCAGGCTGCACAGCCTGGAGCAGGGCACGGCCGGCAGCGAGACCTGCATCTAGAGACCCCCAGGGACCCCCGTGCCGGCAGGACGCCGCTGTATCCCCAGGGAGAATAAACCACTGATGCTCATGGCTCAGCTGCCCCCACCGCGGTGCAGGCTTTGGGGGGGGGGGTGGGGGGGTGTTGCGTTTGGAGGGGCTCAGGCAGCCGGACCTGGAGCTTAGCTCATCCCGGAAACAAAGGGCCACCACCCCTGCACCCCCCTCACTGTCCCCGCTGTCTCCCGGCACAGATGAAGCCGTTTCGTTACCCCTGACGTGGGATCAAAGGTGACGGCAGTGGCCGTGGCGGCGGGGCCATGCATATTCAGGAGGGAAGAGGAGCAGTGACCCCTCGCGGGGGCATCCTCGCTGCGATGGGGGTGGGCGGCAGTGGGGTTGAATCCAGCAGCAGGAACCCTGGAACACTGAAGGCTTGGATAGCGGAGCTGGGCTGAGCGTGGGTTTCCAGTGGGTGGATGGGCAGGGGCACAGACACAATGTGGGCAGAAGGGAAACCGAGGCACGGAGGTTTACATAGGCTCAAATGGGGCCTGCAGCTCCCCAGAGAGATCCTGCAGCAGAGTTCAAGGCTCAGTGGATCAATATCCAGAGCTGTGGCAACGGAGAGGGCAGAGAGGGCTGCAGGGCAGGGATGCAATAATGTGGAGATGTGGGGATGGAGGGATGCAGGATGGTGCTGCGATGACACAGGGCTGCAGGGTTTTGGGCATGCAGGGCTGCAGGGCAGGGCTGCAGTGATGGAGGCGTAGGGATGCAGGGATGAAGGGATGCGGCAATGCAGTGACACAGGGATGGAGGGAAGGGAGGATGCAGCTCACCCCTCCGAGCTGCCCATGCCTCTGCCCCCATCACCTCATCACAGCACCCCTCTGAAATGGGGACAGGGGCTGGTTCAAGGGGCAATTCCCAGTACCCCAATCACTGAGTTGGGGGGCTGCCTGTGCTGCTCCAGCCCCTGTTGCCCCCTCTCGTGCCTGGCTCTGTAGGGGGGTCCCGGTGGCGTGGAGGGGCTGACCTGCGGGTTGAAGGTCAGGGCTCTGCTCTCAGACCCCTTTTCAGATTCAAATCGGCTCCCGGGGGCTTTGTGCGGGGTCAGGCTCTGCGAGAGCCACATGAAAGGGCCGGGGCAGCCGGGGCAGCCTCAGTGCTGGGTGCCGGGAGGAGGAGGCAGCTGGGACCCTCTTGAGGGGTCCCCCCTGCTGATTCCAGGGCCTGACCTGGACTCCCAGAGGCACCGGTGGGGATGGGGTGTTCCCGACTGTGGATGGGGGTCCCAGTGCTGTCCTGCCTGCCAGGCTGCTGTCACAGCACGGGGTGGCTTGGCACGGTGCAGCATGGCATGGCACAGAACAGCATGGTATGGTATGGTGCAGCATGGCACAGCAAAGCACAGCACTACTCAGTATGGCACAGTGCAGCACAATGTAGCATGGCACAGCATGGCACATCATGGTGCAGGCTGGTGGGACCCCCTGCTTTCCCCACTGTCATCCCACTGTACATCCAGAAACCTGCAGCTCTCCTGGGAGGGCTCCACATACCAGTTACTGACTCCACCATTCCAGCCTGCTCCCTGCCTCAGTTTCCCCTCTGTCGGGGCTACAGTAACCGCCTGACACCCCCTGGTAGCATGGCCCAGTGTGGGGCTGCACCCCATCCCCTGGGATTGTGGGTCCCGGGGGGGGGGCACGGTGGGGGAGGCAGGAACGATGGGATCAGGGAAGTGATTCATGTATTCATGTCCCCCCAGGGAGTGAGCGTCCAGCCGGGGCTGGGGCGTGGGATCTGATATCCCGGGAATGCAGGGCAGGGAGGGGCGGGGGGGTCACGTCTCCCTTTGCCTCAGTGCAGGGCTGGGGGCAAACCTGCAGCACTCTGTGTGTGTGTGTGTGTGAAACCACCACTCCATGGGGAGGGAGATCCCCATGTGTGTGTGCAGTGACCCCCCCCCACATGTGTGCACCCTGCTGCCTGTCCCTTGCACGCGTGCGTGCACACGGCAGAGATGTGTTTGCTGCACAGGCGCTCCATGTGCTGTGCTGTGGGGCAGCCTTGGGGCACAGGGCTGTGCTGTGGGGTGTGCAACGGCCCTGCCCAAGGATCCGAGGAGCAGTGGCACCACTGGCCCTGGCCTCCCTTTGTCCTTTGCTGACAGCAGTGCAGGCACGGTTGCGCCCTGCAAGGTCACCACGTTCCAGGGTTGGGACCATCGGGACGCCCCCAGGCCATGGGCAGCCCTTCACCCCTCTGCGGGCTCCAGCGCAGCTCCTGCCTGCCCTCAGCACATCCACACGTGCCCGCACCTCAGGAATGCGGCACTGAGGAGCGTGGTTGGGCCTCGGCATCCTCTAGGGCACAGCAGAGACAGATCCTGCTCAGATCAGGTGTGGGTCCTCATGGGGGCACAGACTGATGGATGTGGTGGTGTCCATCTAACACCCCCTGGGAAGCTCCCGTGAGGGGCTGGCAGAGGGAATGGCTGCCCCACAGCCTGGAGTGGTGGGAACCAGGATGCAGAAGAAATGGGGTCAGGGCTGGCGGTGCTGGTATCTGGCTTTTTGGTGCTGCTGGCACCCAGCTCTCTCACCGGCACAGCCATGAACCAGGCACGCTTCGGCAAAGGTTGCTCAATCACCCTCCAGCCCAAAGGAGGATCATCACTGCCACCCATATCCCAACACCACAGCTGGCTCTGACCCCGAAATCCTCATGGAGCCCCGGCAGCGCCTCCATCGTGCCAGACTCTTCCCTGGGGGCACCGGGGCGGCACAAAATGCGCTGGCAGCTCCCGGGGGCCCTTTTGTGCAGTGGAGGCAGTAGAGCAGCACGAGGAAGGAGGAATTCCTCCGGAGATCAAACGCCTTCTCCAACTGGACACCGACGTCAAAACAAGGCCGGTTCCCAGCGCGGGGCCGGAGCCATGCGGGGGAGAAGATCCAATTTCCTCCTTTGTTCCTGGATTATTATTTTTTGCAGGGGGCAGGAGGCGGGAGCGGGGCAGGGAAAGGGCCATAAATCACAGCCTGACACAAGAGAAAGGAGAAGCAGGGGCGGCTGCAGGTGGGGGCAGCCCCCATGCCCAGAATGGAACACCCCCCCCCCACTCCTCCAGCCCAGCCCCTTCCCACCCAGCTCTGGCTTCCCAACCACAGCAGCCCCTGTGGCATTGGCCCTTGCTGGGTATCTCGGTGTGTCTGCATTAGCAGGTACCGGGTGAGCAGAGATCCCTCCAGACAGGAGGAAATGGAGGTTTATTTATGGCCAAAGCTGTAATCCATCCACCTCTGCTGCACCCCAGCTCCTCCAGCTCCCCTTTCATGTTTTTTTTTATATCCATCCTGCTTTGCTTTGCCTTCCCCTTCTCCCCAATGGAGATGCTGGCCCTGGTGTGTCGGTTGGGAACGCCAAGGATGGCACCGTGACGTGCCACAAAGGTCCTGGCAGCTCCGATCAACATCAGCATCCTTGGGGTCGCCCCATGGGGATAGGCCTGCCCCAAGGGCACACCAGGGCAGATGGGACAGGGGTGCATGGGGACCCAATCTCTGCACCGTGCCCGCTGGACCTCACCCCCAAATTGAAGGGGAACGGGGTGGTCCCGGAGCCACTGGGGCCACCATGGCATAGCCAGGAGGAGAGTTTGTCCCGCAGGTGGAAGGCGAAGGGAGGGCTATCCCAGAGGGCTGCTCCCGGGTCAAGCACCTTTCCCAAAGCTTGTTTCTTCGTTAACAATTAACAAAGCACCAGCACCCAGAGCCGGCACCCAAAGCCTGCGGGAAGGCCATACAGGTCAGACCTGATGAACCGCATTACAAACCGGGCTGCAGCCACCTGGCCTCAGCCCCCAGCCCTTGTGCCCCCCACACGAGCCATGGAGCTGCGGCCTGGTGCTGCTGGCTATTATTAAAGATCCCGTTGGGGCTGCTGGCAAGAGGATGGGATTCCCAACACCGGTGGCTCGGCCGTGGGCCAGGCCTGGGAATGACTTCCCACCCGCATCCCGCGATCCACAGCCCCATGCGGCATCACACCATGTGGTGACACGGTCCCTTGTCCCCAAGGGCAGCCCTTGCCGCACCGCTGCAGCTTAGAGGTCACTCGCTGTGGGGACCAAGGGCCGCAGCAGTAACCGCAGCCATAATTGCAGCCGGTTAAGTGCCACGGGCCCGGCAAACCGGCACGACAGCGAAGCGCCCTGCTCCCCAGAGGCCACGGCGGGGGACGCATCCAACCCGAACGGGCTCTTCCACCGCCCTGCCCGCACCCGGCACCGCAACCGAGGCCGTAGCCGCCTCCGCCACAACCGGTACCACCGGCCCGCGGAGCCGCCCAGCCGTGCCCAGCCCCGGCTCCCGACTGCGGCGCGGAGCGGTGCCCGCCCGGTCCCTGTATGTCCCCCCCCCCGCGAAGCGGCTCGGCGGGGGAGTGGAGGGGGGGCTGCCCGGTGCTGCGGGGCCAGGGCCGGGGCAGGACCCGGCGGGCGGCGAGCGGAAGGGGAGGAGGACGGGGAGGAGCATCCAGGGCGGCCACCGCGGCAGCGGCTGAACTTTGCTCTTTCGCGGGAGGCGGGGAGAGCCCCTGGGCTCGGCGGAGCGGGTCCCGCCGGACCCGGACCGGGACCGGGCTGCATGTACCGGAGGTGGCGGCGGGGCCCGTAGGGGCGAGGGCGGGCCGGGGCAGCGCCGCCTTCTTCTCCTCCTCCTCCTCCTCCTTCCCTGCCGGTGCCGCGGAGCGGAGAAGCCACCGGGGGCGGGCAACGGCGGCCCCCGCATGCGGCCGAGCCCCGGGGCTGCCGCCGCGCCCGGAGCCGCCGCGCCCCGCGGGGGGATGCGCCGCGCCGCGCCCCGCTCCCGCCGCCGCAAAGTTTCCGCGGGGCCCCCCCGTTAACGGTGGGGGGGGAAGGAAAGGAGGAAGCCCTGGGATAGAAGAAGAGGGGGGGGCGGAACAAACCTCCCCCCCCCCCCAAAACCGCGAACCGGCCGCCACCCCCCAAAAAAACTTGCTCAACTCGTTCCGGGAGGCGCCGGGCGCCGCGCTCCGCTCCATGCGGCGGCGGGGCCGGCGCTGAGCCCCGGGGCCGCGGAGCCATGGCCATGGTGGCCGGCGGCTGGGGCGAGCCCAACGGCGGCGGCGGCGGCGGGGAGGAGGAGGCGTCCCCGGCGGGCGGCGGCAGCGACGCGGAGCACGGCGAGGAGGAGCGGGCCGGGGCGCCGGTGGACTGCGTGGTGTGCGGGGACAAGTCCAGCGGGAAGCACTACGGGGTCTTCACCTGCGAGGGCTGCAAGAGCTTCTTCAAGCGCAGCATCCGCAGGAATCTCAGCTACACCTGCAGGTAGGGACGGAGGCACCGGAGGAGGGATGCGGGGGGACCCCGGGCTGCCAGAGCCCTGGCACAGTGGCAGCTTCCCGGTGTGGCCCCCGATGCGGCTTCCCAGTGGCCTTCGGTGTGGCTCCGCGCTGGCCCCGGTGTGGCTCCTCACTGGCCCACAGTGCAGGCTCTATGCTGGCTCTGGTGCGGCTGCCTAGTGGCCTCGGTGGAGGTCCCCAGCCTGGCTCCGCAGTGGCTCTGCTGTGGAGCACACACAGGCTCCGCTGCAGCACTAACAGGGGCCCCACTGCGGCCACAGAGTGGCTCCCGGTGCTCTGTACCTCACATAAGCACCGTTCTGCCCGGAGCATCCACAGTCCTGGGATGGATCCCCGAGGGACGGGTGTTCTGGCATAGCCGGTGCCCAGATCCTCAACATTGCCTGGCTCTGCTCTGGCATTAACCACCATTCGTGGTCATGGTTTGCTCCAGTCACGGCCACTCTACCGGGAGGAAACACCGGTTTAGCACCGAGTGTCATTAAACCGGAGATGTCAAGAGCGCGGTGTGCTGCGGACGCTGAGCTGGGGAGAAAGGCTGCAGCAGATCCGGGCCCACCATCAGGGCCAGGATGTGACCCCTGCAAAGTTCTGAGCTGCAAATAACTCCGGCGTTCTAGTTGGGCTCAGAATGAGCATCAGGGTGGCCGGCACTTGGTGAGCGACCCCATCTTTGGGCTGGTTTTGGGGTGTATATAGGGCAGAAATGTGTATTTAGGGGCTCACCTGCCAGCCTGGATCCACAAGCGAGCATTTCCAGTGGTATTGGCTAAATCAGGGAGGGTGCTGCGAAGATGGCATGGGAACCCACAGCCGGCTGGAAAGGGGGCACCCCACTTTCTTCCCACCTGAAGGGGCCTGGCTGCTTTGAGCTTCATCTAGTGGTGCTGAGATGCCTCGGGAAGGGAAAGGGCAGCGCTGCTGCTACGGCAGAAGCCGGCTCCGAGCTGCCTTGCTCTCGTTTGGGCGGCCTAGATTCATCCTCCCCCGTGCACAGCACCTCCTCTCCCGGCAGCTCCTGGCACCGGCGCTGCCGGGTCCCGGCTGACGTCAGCTTGAGCCACTCGTGGCTGTGGAGTGGGGCCCTGGAGCTGCCAGTGTGGGGCAAGGGGCAGTTCTTGCTGCCCCTGGTCCTCCCCATCGGATGCAGCGTGCGCGGATGCAGTGTGTGCATCATCCCTGGCTCTGCCTCAGTTTCCCCATCCGATCATCAGGATCCACCAGCGAGTGTCTGCTCGGGACTACTGATGTGGAGATGGGGAATACACATGGCTCTTGAGAAATCCCACTGTCCTGGAACAAAGGAAAGGCCAATTTGGGGCACCCTGCATGAGGGATGGGCTCTGTGTCCCAGATGCTGCTTAGGTGCAGGGGTGTTGGAGGGCCTTCACCCATGAGCATCCCAGATTTTATCGTGTCCTTGTCACCTTGGGCACCTACTTCAAATGTTTTGGGTTTTCCCCCCTCTTCTTTGTGCTGGGAAGTGATTTTGGTGCAATAGAGAAACGTTGGTTTTCCAAGTAGGGAGTAAAGTGTTGGAGGGGCCGGGAACAATGCTCCCCCGGCAGCGCTGGCATCTGCTTTGTTCACCGAGTCAAAAGCAGCATCAAGCCAAGATTGCTCTAATTTGAATATTAAAAGTGAGTTGGATTCAGTTTAGTTCTTGCACTAAATAATTACACGTTCTAATTACATAATTAGCACAGTATACGCCTTTTGTGTTCTCACCCCTTCGCAGGTTGGTGCAGCTTATCCGTGTGAAAACTTGGCTGCGGGTGAGCTGCTGTCGGGAGCCGACCTGGGTTTGTGGGGAGGGGTTTTCCCGGTGCTGGGAATGTGCCCCGAGGCCACAGTGAGGGTCAGCCGGGTCCAATGCAGGCTTTGGCCGCGGTGCCGGCAGCTTTGGCTGCGGCACTGATGAAGATGTGAGCTGTCGGGGTGATGAGCGATCGCTATCGCTTCGGCGCTGGAATAACTTTCTATCAGCAACACGTTTTAGGCTGCGCGAAGCGCAGCGGTGATGTTCGGGGTGAATTAATTCCGGTCGGAGAGCGGTGGGAATCCCTGCCTGGCTCGCCTCTGGAGTCGTGTAGGGATGAGGAGATTCGTGTCAGGATTCCCAGGCAGAGTCTGAGCTGCTGCCGGACGTGTCCCAGCCCTGCCTGCGCCTCCCTGATGCTGCTTAAACCACCTTCATTTATTCCTGGTTTCCTGATACTTCCCTTTCCCTCCCCAGGAAAAGGGATGTGGGATGTAAGCACCCGGTGTCACCGGTGCCCCGCTGCACCCCTCAGCCGTGTGAGGACCGTGGGGGGCAGCAAATGCTGGGAATCAGAGCTGGGGGGGGTGGGGTGGGGGGGTGTTGGATGCTGGTGATGCCATTCAGGAGCGGCGGTGGATGGTTTGGTGGTGGCTGGTGCCACACTACATGGTGCGGGGCTACCCAGTGCCTGCAGCTCCTTGCCCAGGCTTGATCAGGCTGCAAGAGTGCTTGGTGAGACCCCACACTGGGTCTGATTGAGGCCAGACCTCATGGAGGATACAGGGCTGGGCCACCACCGTGAGGGACACCCGGGGTCTCAGGCTCAGCACCCACCCGGTAGGAAATAGTTGGAATTCCTCACATGTCTGGTGGTGGGGCTGGGGCGGGGGGGGGGGGGGGGGGAGGCGGTGTTGCTGCCCGGATACGGGAGCATCGCTCCCCAGCCCCGGGGGTGTCTCCAGCTTCCCTGCAGCCCAGGGCAACGCTGCCAACGGGAAAGGGCAGCCCCTGCCGTAGGAGCTCGCTGTTTCCATAGCATCTGCGAGCGCCCGTGGCACAACCACGGCCGATGCCGCGCTCCGAGGCGAAGGGCTTTGTCCTGAGCTGCCGGGGAGGTGGGTGCAGGGACTCCCCCCACAGCAGCATCGCATCATTCCTCACCGGCACCTCCTCATCTCGGTCCTGCCCCTAGGTCCAACCGCGACTGCCAGATCGACCAGCACCACCGCAACCAATGCCAGTACTGCCGCTTGAAGAAGTGCTTCCGTGTGGGAATGAGGAAGGAAGGTAACGCCAGTGCCGCAGTGATGGGGAAGCTTCCCGAGGGCTCCCAGTGCTTGCTTTGCTTCCCCACCTCTCCGCGACCCCCATTAGCAGCAATCACCCTCCCCCCCCCCCCCAATCCCCATTTGCCCCTTTTGTCTTTTCCCTGCCTCCTTGATTCCCAGTCGCTGCGGGCAGCACAGGTGGTGTTTGTTTGGAAAAGCTGGAGCTGATAAGGGGACGCACTGGAGCCAGGACGGCCCTGGGCGCAGTGGAGGTCCCAGTGCAGCCACGTTGATCCCCTGGCTGCTTCCTTGCTTCCCATCACCTTGGGGGTGTGAACCCTGAATGCTGCTGTAAAGGGGATGAAGGCTTTAGCCCCACATCTCAGATCCCGGCGGCAGGATGTGGCTGTGCCATGGCATATGGAGATGCTGGAGCCGCAGTGGGGCTTGGCGTGGGCTCTGCTCATGGCAGGTGGCATTGATGTGAGGAGCAGAGGGAAGGATACTGGAAGCAGGACAGTAATTCCCTCCTTTCCAGAGGAGTGGAGATGGCATTATTGCCACTTAGCATGATTTAGAGCTCTCATTTAAGTGGCTCATGAACAGCCCATAAATTAATTACTAGGGACTGAGCAAATAGTGGGCGCTAATGGGGGGGGGGGGGGTGGTGGAGCTGAGAAATGGCTCTCCCTGAATGCAATTAGGAGGGGGAGTGCCCTGGGGTTAACAACGCTTCCAGTATGGACGTTTTAGTTGCACATAAATGATTGCCACCATGGGATGACCTTGGGTGGCAACTGCAGCTGGCACGGGGGGCCATAGTGCTGATGGCACGCCCAGTTTGGCATGGCATGGCACGGAGGCCATGGCCAAGCCACAGCGCTGGCACCCTGGGAGTAACTAGTGAGTCACTGGGATGTTAAATGGATTAAGGTGGTGGGAGTAGCCTGTGGCACACACCACCTCCCTCTCCGACAGAGCCTGAAAGCTGCCCCTTGTTCTCGGGGTGGGTGAGAGTTCTACCTGGGATGCTGGAGTGTAGTGGGAGCATCCTGCATGCTTCCTGCATGGGGCAGGGGGATGCAGGCAGACACCTCTTCTTCTTGCCCACAGCCGTGCAGCGGGGTCGGATCCCCCCCAGCCACTCCAGCACCAGCCCCAACACACTGCCCAGCGGGGAGTACTTCAACGGGCAGCCGGTGTCGGAGCTCATCTCACAGCTCCTGCGGGCTGAGCCCTACCCTGCTGCCCGCTATGGCTCGCAGTATGCCCAGCAGGGCAGCGTCATGGGTATCGACAACATCTGCGAGCTGGCCGCACGCCTCCTCTTCAGCACGGTGGAATGGGCCCGGAACATTCCCTTCTTCCCAGAGCTGCCCGTCTCCGACCAAGTGGCACTGCTGCGGCTGAGCTGGAGCGAGCTCTTTGTCCTGAATGCGGCGCAGTCGGCGCTGCCGCTGCATATGGCCCCGCTGCTGGCTGCTGCCGGCTTCCATGCCTCCCCCATGTCCGCCGACCGCGTTGTCTCCTTCATGGACCAGATCCGCATCTTCCAGGATCAGGTGGAGAAGCTCAACCGGCTCCAGGTGGATTCGGCCGAGTACAGCTGCCTCAAAGCCATCGCGCTCTTCACGCCAGGTAGGCTGGAGCCAAGATCCCATGGTGAGCCCCTCCCCCCAGGGAGCATCCGCCCCCTATTTCCTTGGGATTTTGGGCTCCAGAGAATCATAGAATCCTAAAATGGTTTGGGTTGGAAGGGACCTTAAAGCTCATCCAGTTCCAACCCCCTGCCACAGGCAGGGACACCTTCCACTAGAGCAGCTTGCTCCAAGCCCTGTCCAACTTGGCCTTGTCCTCATGCCCCGGCACTTCTCCAGCATGGTTTGCAGCACCCCAGCTTGCCCATCCGGCTGCAGGGATGAGCTTTCCCGGGGCAATGAGAGTGAGACCTGCAGGAAAACAAATATCTCCCCATACACTGGGGGAGGATCTCGGGGAGCCCTGTCCCTTGGCCCATCCATGCTTACTATCTCTGTGCCTGGTGCTTCCTGGGGGGAATGAGCCTGCAGCAACCCATTGCAGCCAGAGGGGTCCAAGCCATGCTCTTGACCCATGCTGCATCCCCTAATGCAGTGAGGAGCAGCCGGGCAGGAGTGTGGCCATGGCAGCGGGTTGAAGAGAGGGAGTCACTGTGGGTATCGGGGTGGGGGCTCCGATCCCTGACCCTTCTCCATCCCACCCCTCCTGCAGATGCCTGTGGCCTGTCGGACCCGGCGCATGTGGAGAGCTTGCAGGAGAAGGCTCAGGTGGCCCTCACAGAGTACGTGCGGGCGCAGTACCCATCGCAACCGCAGCGCTTTGGGCGGCTGCTGCTGCGGCTCCCGGCTCTCCGCGCCGTGCCGGCCGCGCTCATCTCCCAGCTCTTCTTCATGAGGCTGGTGGGGAAGACGCCCATCGAAACACTAATCAGGGACATGCTGCTGTCTGGGAGCACCTTCAACTGGCCCTATGGGACAGGGCAGTAGGGGACAGACACCCCACAGCCGGACCCAGATTTCCTCCCATGCCCTGAGATGGTGCCACTCGCCCCAAAAGCAATGGGGTCATGGCGTTTTCCTCCTAAAGCTGAAGGTACTGGCGCTGCTGCCACCGCTGGAAACTGAACTCTTCTGTACCCCATGAAGCGGAGCTCCCCAGCGCCTTGGTCCTAACCCCCAGGGACCTTGGAGGATCCCCAGGGCTGGTCCCTTGCTCTGCCCCTCCAAATCTGAATGTCAGATGGTGGGAGGCTTGGACAGAAGATGACGGGAGGTGGGACCAGCCAGACACACAGAGGGTCCCCTGGCGGCACAGGGCTGTCTGCTGTGGGGACCCCCTTTGTTCCCTCCCCACCCTCCAGTGCTGGCAGTGATGGAAAAAGGGTCATTTTAAACCCCCTTTGTGCCCTGCAACATGTGCCCAGCCCCGAGGACTGAAACACTGAGCTTGGAGGAGCCCCAGTTTGGGGACTGGGCTTGCCCATGCCTGGTGCAAATTCCAGCCCCCCACAACCCCCTGGCACTTTCCACAGAGGCATCTCCACTGTTGGGGCATGGGGAGGGGTTGGGGGTACAGTGGAGGAGAAGGGGGCACAGGGGTGGCTGATGGGGTCCAGGCACCATGCAGGGCTCATTCACTGCTGCCGCGCTTGGTGCTTCACGCACCCCTTGGGCCACATCCAGCACCCACCACCATCCCCACACTGGGGGAGATGGGGGCCAGCAGCCCCCTCCCCACGCTCGCTACATCCCTGGGCCTCATTATTACTTTTTAAGCCAAGTGTGGGGAGGAAAGGAGACAGTGGGAGGGGACAGAAGGGGTGATGCTGCTGTGGGGGTCTTTGTCCCCAGGGCTGAGCCATAGTAGAGGAAGGGACTTGTGGGGGCAGAGCCACCTTGTAAAGATGGAGATGCCCCATGGCCTCTGATCCCGCATGGTCCCATGGCTGCAGGATTAGAGGCCATGGGGGGCTGGGGGTGTGTGTGGCCCCACAGGGCTCTGCTTCTCAGGAGCTGGAGGCAGGAGTAGCCGCAGGAGTTGTCGTTTAGATTGATTCACTGCAAATATAACCCTTGTTCAATGATACTTAACAAATGAAGTCAATAAAAGATGTTTCTTACAACAGAGGGGCTGATCCTGCTGCAAGGCTGTAGTCCACCCTGGGGTAAGGGGGGAGATGGTGCCCCCCCCCCCCCCCCCCCCCCCCCCACTACCAAAGCCACTATAAGACACCTAAAATGGGATGGGGTTTGGAAACACCAGGGCTTTGCAGGGGGCTTCTCGGTGAAGTTCAACCCAGGATCCTTTCTTCCCAAAGGATCCTGTTGGGGAAGACCAGGATCAGGAAAGCAGCAGCCAGCACAGAGGTTTGTACTTAGGTTTTGGGGGGGGGTAGGGGGGTGGGTTGGTGGTTCCCCTCTCAAGGTGCTTCCCCCGCCAAGCCCTGCTGTTGCCCCTTCCACCCCAGCACTGATTTAAAATCAATAGATACAATTTATTTAATATTAAAAAAGAAAATTACACAGTTTCAGCCAGTTCCTTATAAAAGATGATCCCTGCCTAAAGGGGGGGCTCAGGGAATGTGGGGTTTTGCCCCCCAACAGCCCCACTGAGGGATGCTCAGCTCCATCCAGCACATCCCTGTGGGGCTGCAGCCACATTTGGTACCCAGACCCTGGTGCTGGCGGAGACAGATGGGGGCTGCAAACCCCCCCCCCCCCGACATATTGACAACAGCAGGAGGGGACCCACAGCCCCAAAGGCACAAGAAGTGGGGGGAGCATGGAGGGGGCACTCCAGCAGCCCCAGCGCCCTTGGCACCAGCATCATGGGGTGGCTTTGAATGGTGGCTTTGGATTTTGTCAATAGAAACAAAGGTACAAAAGGCACCAAAACCCTTTGGGGGGTTGATGGGGAGCCCCCTCAAGCCCATGCTGCGGTGGTGGTGCTGGGGGTGGCACAGGCAGGCTACCCTCGCACCTTGTCGTAGGCTTTCACCATCCGCTTGATGTGGAAGAGTTTGTTGCGGAGGGTTCTGGTCTCCAGCTTCTTTGCCTGGTAGTCGGGGCTCTGGAAGGCAGCACAGGAGCAGCTTCAGTGGTGGGGGACGAGGGGAAGGGGGGCACAGCTTCCACCTTCCCCACCTGCATTGCACCAACCCAGCCCCACAGAAACAGGGGAGAGCTTGGGAAGTTCTTCCCTAAGAGGGTGGTGGGACACTGGGATGGGTTGAGTGGAGAAGCTGTGGCTGCCTCATCCCTGGCAGTGTTCAAGGCCAGGTTGAACACAGGGGCTTGGAGCAAGCTGCTCCAGTGGAAGGGGTCCCTGCCTGGGGCAGGGGTTGGAGCTGGAGGAGCTTTAAGGTCCCTTCCCACCCAAACCATTCCAGGATTCCCTGCACTCACCCACTGTAGGTCCTTCAGCCTGTTGTACTCCTCGGCAACATCCTGTGAAGGGAACAGGCAGGAGGTGGGGGTCACAACTGCCCAGCACAAGGGTGCTCCCATGGGACTTCCCTGCAGCATCCCTAATGCCCCAAAGTATCCCAAGGCCCCACAGCATCCACCCCAATGCCCTGAAGTATCCCAGATACTCCACAGCATCTATCCTTAGTGCCCCACAGCATCCTGAGGCCCTGCAGCATTCATCCCCAATGCCCTGCAGCATCCCAGATGCTCCCTGGCATCCATCCCTTGTCTCCCCACAGTGTCCCAGCAGCATCCCTGTGGCTCCCACAGACCTGGTACTGGGGACTGTCCTCAGAGATGCTGTCGATCTCTTTGCTGAGCTGGTTGATGCGGTCACTGACCCCGTCCACCTCGGCGCGGAGCTGCCGGTAGCGCTTCAGGTCCATGTCAAACTGCTGCTTGTACCTCTGCCGGGTGCCGTCCGAGGTGATGGGTGGGTAGAGGCTGCAGAGAGGGGCAGGGTCAGGCCCTAGAGGGGCAGCTTCGGAGGTTGGGGTGCTCCATGGGGTCCTGCCTTACCTCTCCCACTGCTCCTGGTCCCGCTCATCGCCGGACTCCACGGCTGTGGTGTAGTCGGTCTCATACTGGGAGTCTTCCAGGTCAGGGTGCCGGCGGCGGCGGCGGCCACGGCGCGCAGGGGCTCTGCTGGACTTCTCCTCCGGCACACTGGGGCTGAGCCCCTTGTCCAGCTGGTCACTGCAGGGGACACAGGGACATCAGCCAGCGCCCAGGCCAGGGAATGGCTTGGGTTGGAAAGGACCTTAAGCTCATCCAGTTTCATGTCACCCAAGGCTCTGTCCAACCTTGAGCGTCTCCCCGCACCCCAGAGCTCCCCACTTGGCTGCTCACCCGTGGGTGCTGTAGGTGCCAGGGGGGTACAACCTGTCCTGGGGGCTGTAGCTGTATGCAGGGGGGCTGTAGGGCAGCGCAGTGACGGGGCTCATTGGCTTCTCTGAGTAGGCGAGCGTGGCAGTCTCGTCCTGCACGCTGGTCCCATCCGCCACGTTCTTCACCTGCAGCAGGGAGAAGTGTCGGGATGGGATGGGGGGACACTTGGGATGTGGCGACACTTGGGATGTGGCACATGGAGACATCGGAATCCATCCCAGAAACCCCAGAGCAGCTGTGGCAGGGGGATAAGCCATGGCAATGGGGTGTCCTACACAGCTATGCAGAGCAAAAGTTGGGGGGCAAGGGATGGGGGAGCCCCATAGAGCATTGTTTGGGAAGGGGGAGGCTGCAGGAGAAGGGCCCACAGACCGCAGTGGGCAAAGTCACACGCAGGGGAGTCCCACTGGGACATGGTGGCAGATGGACACCCAGCTCTGCACCCCCAGCGTGACCCCGCCAGGCTCTGCAGGGGGCTGCATTCCCACCTCACCCAGCATCACCTCCCCCAGGCCCCCCGCTGCTGCCCCAGCACGGCCGGGGCTCCTCAAGGAGGACATGGGGTGTCCGCGTGTCCCTCCTCCCGCTTCCTTCCTGCCCTTTGTGGGTTGTTTGTGCCGGAAGCCGGTCCCTGCCCGGGACAGCGGCCCCGGGGACGTCACCGCCAGCTCCGTCCGGCAAAGTCGCTTCCTCCTGTGTTTCCCCCTATCGAAGACACAGTTAACTGGGGGCCCTGTCCCCACTCTGCCTGGTGGAGCTGGCCTGGGGACAGCCATGCCCCTGTGCCACAGCAGGACAAGGCTCAAAAGTCCCCCCTTTATCTCGGTCCCAACCACAAACAGGGAACAAGGTGTCCCAGGAGGGTTTCACACCCCGGTGCCTTCCCACTGCTGCATCCCTAGGAGTGGGGATGTGTGACCGGTGGGAGGGCGGCGTTGGGCAGAGTGGGGACAACCCAAAGGGCAGGGGAGGGGGTGCTCGGGTTCTGCTCCCCCCCCATGAGCCAGGAAATGCTTTGCAAGGGAGGGACATGGAGAAAAACAAATAAATCCGAACAAATAAATGCAAACAAAAGGTATTTCTGCAGCATGAACAAGAAAGGAGAGCTGCAGCAGGGGCAGGCACAGGGACACGCACCGGGACCAGCGGCTCTGAGCTCAGCTCCAGTTCTGCTTTGAAGTGTTGGGATAAACCTGGGGCTCCGGTGGGAAACCCAGTGCCCAGGTCACCCCAGGGATGGGATGGGGACAGGGCTTGGGCAGCACCCTGGGAGCTGTACTCTGGGGTCTCCTTCCCTATGGATCCTGCAGGCTTCCTGCAGCCGCCCTGCAGAGACACCGGCTCTGGGAGCTAGAGCAAGGACGGGATGGGGCATGTCCCAGTACACAGTGGGGCTGGGACCGGCACTTCCCCAGGGTCCCCCACCCAAGGAACACAGGCTTTGGAGCCCCAACAGTGCTGGTTTGGGTGCCACGAAGCCACCGTGTCCTCCGCGGCACAACCACACAGAGCAGAGTTAATCATTGCCGTGACTGAAACCAAAGGGTGCCGTGGAGCAGCGACTCAGGGCTGGTGTCCTCAAGCACAGGGCGAGGAAGGAACCCAGAGAGGGGCTTTGGACAAGGGCCTGTAGGGACAGGCCAAGGGGAATGGCTTGAACCTGCCAGAGGGGAGACTGAGATGAGCTCTTAGGCAGAAGCTCTTCCCTGTGAGGGTGCTGAGGCGCTGGCACAGGGTGCCCAGAGAAGCTGTGGCTGCCCCATCCCTGGCAGTGTTCAAGGCCAGGTTGGACACAGGGGCTTGGAGCAAGCTGCTCTAGGGGAAGGGGTCCCTGCCCATGGCAGGGGTTGGAGCTGGAGGAGCTTTAAGGTCCCTTCCCACCCAAACCATCCCATGATTCTATGACCCAGAGCCTCAGCACCGTGTTCCTGGCACCCCGCCCATCAGATCACACCCTGTTTGTCTTTCAGGGAGGTTGAGTCCAGCTCAAAGCCTCATTGTGCCATTGGGGAATGGAACCAGTTGGCAAAAGACACAGCACCCCAACGGGGTGGCAGGGACGGACCTGGTGAGCACCAAGCACAGCATCGCACTAGCAGTGATAACACCGTACCCAGAGCAAACACACCAGCACTGGGCACAAAGAGACTCCAGTCACAAAACTGTGTCCAGGCTGGGAACAGGGAATGGCACAGACTCAGTACAGCCCCAGGATCCCCAACCCAACACTGCTCTGGGCACGTTCAGGCCCCGCTGAGGAAGGGCAGGTAGGGAGGATGCTCATGGGGAGATAGAGGGTACCCTACCGCAGGTACCCAACAGCATCCCCAGCCCATGCTGGGACTCACCCACTCCTCCACGTTGGGACCCTCCGGGACCACCGGCACCTTGTCCCAGTAGATATTTTGCTTCCCGTACCTCCAGATCTTGCTCCGTGTCTTGTGAGCAAAGAAGCAGATGAGGCAGAGCAGGATGACAATGAGGAACCCGCAGACGATGGCCACGGCCTGAACGGGTGCAGAGAAGGGGACGGCTGTGAAGACCCCATCCCAGGGTCTGAGTAACCTGCTCCTCCCTGGGCTGAGTGGGAATTTCTCCCCTCATCCCAAAATCTTCCTGCCGTTGGATCCCCTGCCATGGTGGAAGCAGAGGGGCAGAACCTCCCTGTACTGGGCAGCCAGGATGGAGCCCATCATGGGTTCAGGAGCTTTTGGCACCAGATTTCCCCATGGGAAGAGAACACGTTTTGGGCTCAGGAGCAGAAGGATCCCTGCCCCAATGCTTTCCCATGAGCCACATCCCTGGAGCTGCACCAGCACCGGGGCTGGGTGAGGACGAGTTAGGCCACACTTGGCCTTTGCATGGAGCAGGAGCAGTGCAGACTCCTCAGCTCCCCATGCTCAGGATGCAGGAATGTGGCACAGCCAGCCCAGCCAGATGGGAACCGGCAGCGCCAGTCCCAGCCCATGTGCCGTGCAGCATCCCCACTGGTCCCAGCTGAAACCCAGGCTCAGGAGCTTGGGTTTGAGGGTTCACACTGCCCCACTGACCTTTTAGGGCTCCCAAGACAAGCCAGCAGCATCAGGGGTGCCTGGGGAGAGCTGGTACCCTGCTTGGCAGCCTGAGCCAGCACCCAGCCTTGCTCAAACACGTTTACAACCGAGGAGACCAAAGTACCAGACGCCCGGTCTGTGTCGGGACAACAGCCCGTCCCCTCCCTGAAACTCCCTGGTGGCAAAGGGCCAGGCTGGGGTCGAGTCCCAGCAGCTTCCCCCTGCACTCTGCAGCCACCAAACCCACTAAAGACATCACGGGAACCCCCCCAGCTGTGCACCCGTTCCAAGGGCAGGACTGTGGTCACCGATGCCCTCCCTGGCCTTCCTCAGCATCACGCTTGAAGCAGAGCAAGGAAAGCGGGGGGTCTGGCCAGAGCTGAGGGGCCCCTCCTCACCTCCTGGGGGTCCACGGTGCAGTAGTGGTAGAGGTACTGGTTCAGGTAGGTGCCGCTGCTGTAGATCTGGTTGCACATGGTAAGCAAGGGGTTGTAGTAGTAGCTGCCGGTCATCTGTGCCTGGGGGTTGACGCCGACGACGTAGATGATGGAGGCGATGAGCATGAGGAAGGCCAGCACGGCGCAGGCCACGATCACCACCAGGTAGAAGCGGCGGGAGCGGGAGCTGTGAGATTTGCTGATGCTGGCCACAAAGAGCCCCAGCTGTGCCAGGAAGCACAGCACGGCCATGGCGATCATGAAGCCGTTGGCTGTTCGTGGGTTGGTAACGCCGCCATAGTAGCTCCCGTAGCCGTAGCCATAGTTTAATCCGCTGCCGTAGTAGCCGGAGCCATAGAAGCCCCCCAAGCTGCTGCCATAGAGCCCCCCGTAGCCATAGCCATACTCCCAGGCCAGGGTGGAGGCCACGCAGGCGAAGATGGCGATGCAGAGCAGGATGACAACCACCTCCAGGATCCGCACCACGCTGGGTGGTGAGCTCCACTTGTAGAAGTGCTGCGGCACATCCTCCATGTAGTAGGAGCCCGGTGGGGGAGAGCGAGCACCGGTGCCGTTGCCATAATCACCCATGGGGGACCCGTAGCCCGTGGGGGGCCCGTAGCCCATGGGGGGGTTGTCATAGGTCTTCATGCTTCAGAAAAGCCTGGTGGGGAGACGGACGGAGCCGTGGGAGCTGGTTGCGCACCAGGGCAGCGCGAGGCAGCACTGACGGGTGTCTCTGCACCCCCGATGGGGACTTTGGTCCCCGTCACCAGCCCAACGGCACCGTCAACACCCGCCCGTGTCCAGCCCCACCAGTCAGGGTGGCTCGTGGGGAAACTGAGGTACAAGAGAAGTGACTCAGCCAGCATCACCCAGCAGAGCTGCCCGACCACAGCCCAGCCCTGCTCCATGCACCAACCCTAACCCCCCACCTCGACTCCCCAACCACCAGACCCCATCTGAATGAAGTGGATTGTTCCAGGTCTAATTAAACCAGAAAAGCTCTTACCGAAGGGCAGTGCTAACCCTGAGGCTCTCTCCGTAAGCAGATCCACTGGATTAAACAATAACAAGAAATACACATTAGCAACACCCCAGCGAAAAGCAGAAAAGTGCTCTCAAAGATTTGGGGAAGGTTTCCCTTCAAATCGATGCACACACACACCCCCCTCAGTGCAGAGACCCCCCGACCCAGACACCCCATCATGGAGCAGGAGAAACCTGAATCCCTGTGAGAAACTCAACCCCGACGGCGCAGGATGAGGCCCCGGGATTAGGGGTGGGCTGCGGGGTAGCACCCACTGACCCACAGCAAGGGTGGGCTTCGGGGGTTCGGACAGCAGGGGGTCTCGGTCCCGGGGGACCCCCGCCCCAGCTCACGGCAGCAGCGAGGACCACCACCCCGACCCCGAGCAGAACCGCAGGGTCTCAGGCTCCCGGAGCGGTAATGGGGACGCGGCGACCCGAAGCAACCCGGTGGCGGTGCGAAGGACACGGGACGGGGGGCTCTGGGAGTCCCCTCCCCGCTGAAGGGGCACCGGGCGGGGACAGCGACCCCTGCGAGGAGCCGCCGCCTCTCGCCTTCCATCCGCCGGGGCTGCGGGAGCCCCGGTACCGGGGGAGAGTCCGGTGATGATCCCGGGGACGTCGATGTCAGTGGGGACCCCGGTAGCGGTAGAGACCCCGGGGATCCGCTGAGAACCCCGGTAGCAGTGGGGACCCCGGTGCAGCTACTGGTGGGGCCCGTGGTCCCGGTGTGGAGCCCGCTGGGCACCGCGGTGCGCGCAGGAGCAGGACCCTCCCTCCGTGCACGGCGGGGAGCGGGGAGCCTCCCTGTGCGCCCTCCGGTACCGCGAACTCGCTCGCCCCCCGCTGCCGCTCCCGGTGCCGGTAGCGGGGGTCCCGTCGGACACGAAGCCACTCACCTGCCCGCGCCTCCGCCTCTTTGTTCACCTTAAAATGGCAGCCGGGAGCGGCGCCGGGCGCTGCGGGAGACCGGCCTCGGCCCGGCCCGGCCCTGGTTTCCGCCTCCGGGGAGGGGTGCAATGGGAGGGGGGGGAGGGCAGAGCCCCAGGGGCCGCCCCCAGCTCCCTGCGCCCGTTCCCAGCGCTGCGGCCCCGCGGGAGGGTGGTTAGAGTGCCCGGAGTGAAATAAGGGGGAGCCCGACACGGGGGGTGCCGAGGGTGGCACCCCGGGTTGGGGCCCTCTGGGGGTCTGGGCTCTTCCCCCCTCCGTTGTTTGCTTAGGGACAGAAGGGTCCTATGAGTGCAGGGCTGGGGATGCACCAAGACCCCCCTGAAAACATCACTGTGCTTTATTAAACCCAGTTTTACACACACACACCCCAACCCCCCCAAATCACACAGGGTGCAGCCAGGGCTTGGATCCCACACAGGAACAGGCAGCACCTACCCGGTTCCTGGGGCTCCCTGAGAGCACAGAGCACCCAAAGGACCCCAAAACCAGCAGCATGGGGAGCCCTGGGTTCACTCTCAGTGCCCAGGTGGGTGCAATTGCAGCATCATCACCCCGTTCCCCAGCACCCAGCCCCTGCGGTCCCTCCTGGGATCCCGGTGCCAGTACCACGGTGTCAGTGCGGAAGCTCAGAAGGTTCCAGCGCAGTCACGGTCATACTCCTGGATCCGTGCCTTGATGTGCATCAGCTTCTGCTTCAGGTACTCACAGCGCTGCTGCTTGGCCAGGAAGGCCCAATCCTGATGAATTGTGCTCAGCCAGGAGGAACCCGGCACCATGCCCTGGCACCAGGGGCCTGCCATGCCCTGGGGATGCCCCTCAAGCAGTGGGGAACGGGGAGAAACACCATGGGGCTTGCAGGAATAGATCATGAGCCCTTCCCCTGTTTACCTTCTTCCTCATGTACTCATGCAAGACATGGGCCATCCTGCTCCCATCCTGCGGGGCAAAGACACATCCGGGAGCCCTGGGGGCTTGGCCTGATGGAGCAGGGCCCTAATGGGGTACGAGAGCTGAGGAGTGAGAACCTCACCCCAGGCGTAGCCAGAATTGCTCCTGCTCCTTCATTTCCCAGCAGTTCATTTCCCTTGGAGCACTGCTGGTGCAGGATCGTGTATGCCTACAAGTCACCTCCAGCCCCCCCACCCCACTGCACCCCCCAAGATCATCCCCACCCTGCAGAGATGTCCCAACTCAACACACCCAATGGGCCCCCTGTGCTGCTGGTGCCTTGCCAGTGCTGCTGGCTTCCAGCTCCCTGGGGAGCGTGCTGCGGATCTCCCAGAGCAGATCTGTGTATTCCCACAGCTGATCCTGGAAGACGCCCTTGTAGCCTTCCCGCTGCTGGGAGCTTCGGATCGCCGGATACCTTCTGCATGGCCACAAGGACATGAGGCTCAAGGTGTTGCAGCTCCCCAGGGTTCTGTGGCCATTCCCATCCCTACAGGAGTCACTTACACCACGTAGTCTGGGAGAGCGTCGTGTGGCCGAGGTGCCCATCTGGGTGGGACAGAGCTGGGCCCCGGCTTCTCCCGGCCCTTGGCAGAGGAGATGCTCTCTGTGGGTCTCTCTGATGCCACCACCTCATCCTCGAAGGTGACGCGCCGGGGGTGGGCTGCCGGAGGCTTCAGAACATCAGGGAGGGGGGTGAGGCTGCACGGCCGCCGTGGTGGGGGGTGCAGGGGGGGATCACCCGGTGCTGTCCCCACGCCCGGTGGTGGCAGGACTCCCAAGGACATCCCGGTGCTTCCCCATCTGGAGCGGCACAAGGCTGAGGAGCAGGCAGAGTGGTGCTGGGAGGGTGAGGATGATGAGCGGGGCCTCAGCCAGGCAGGTGATGCTGGTGAGGAGGGGGCCATGGTGCCGGCCCCCAAGGGTGCTGGTGCCGGTGTTTGCCGCTGCCACTGCCACTGCCAGGAATGGGAAGCACAGGAGCCTGTTGAGAGCCAGGAGTGGCCCCCAGCCCCAGGAGGATGGTGGGGAGCAGCCAGGTTGCCCCCAGCCCCCACGAACCCCCAGATGGGACTTGATGGAGATGAAGCCAAATGCCTCTAGCCCAGCGTCAGGGCTCCATACCCGGTTCCTTGGCCATTGGCTCCCAGGGGATTTGGGGTGCTGGGGGTCCCCTGTGTGCATCCGGTGGCTGCTTCGCTTCCCTGTATCCGGGCTGAGCCCCGCTGGAGGAGAAGCCCTGAGATAAGCAAGGATGGGACCAAACCCCATGGCAAGACCACACAGATCATGGTGTTACCAACTCTTTTTGTGTGCCTCAGTTTCCCCTGTGGGGCCATTTGCCCAGCCCCTGCTGCCCTTTCCCCATTGCTCACCAGGGACTTAAAAGTGGCCACTGAAGGGGGATGTCACCTCCCCTGCTGTGAGCTTCAGCCTGGAAACCCAGGGTGAGCAGGAGCAGGGATGTGCTTGAGCCCTTCTAGGTGGGGAATGGTCCCTCACCACCACCACCACCACCAAAGGACGCTGTGGATGCTTGCCGGGCCCATTCCAGCCAGACCCCGCTGTCACTCCAAGGCTCCGTGTCCCCATGTCACCTCCCGCAGGACCTCATGGAGCCCCCAAGCCCCCGCTGTTACCTGCCCGTTCCATGGTGGGATCCGGCCCCGGGGGTCACCGCGACGTCCCGCGGCCGCCGCGGCCCGGCACCGGCGTTAAACATTAACAGCAATGGGCCACCCCCGGCGCATCGCGGGGCTGGAACCGCCCCGGCTCCGGTACAGCCCCACCGGGGGCCACTTCCTGTACCCACCTCTGCAGGACCCCCGCACCAGGTTCGGCTTTGCAAAGGGGGAGCCCGGGGACCTCAACACGGCCCCATCACCACTCCCCCACCCGCTGCTCTGAGCTCCCCACAACCTGCCCCAGTGCAAGTTGGGGGTGCAAGCTCCCCCAGTGCACCCCCGGGGAGGTTTGGAGCCCCCCCGTGTCAGCCCTATCTCACCCTCCAAGGTTCCCAGCACGGGAACCCCTTTGCAGAGGGGGGGGGGCTGCAATGACCCACCCCAGAGCATGCCCCCCACCCTGGTCCCCCCTTACTGTGAGCAGAGAGTGACGCATCCAGTTCAGCCTCCTTTAATGTGCACCTCGCCCCCCCCCCTCCCTGGGCCTCACAAAACTGAGGGTGCCAGCTGGGTAGTGGGGGGGGTGGGGGTGGATTTAGAGCCATGGGGGGTCTTGGCCCACCCCAGTGCAAGGGGCTGGGCTCAATATTGCATCCAGGAAGCTCCCAGCACCGTACAACGGTAGCTCCCATTGTGATCCCCCCTCCCTTCCACCCCCCACTTTACAGATGGGGGAAACTGAGGCACAGAGAGGTGATGTGACTTTGCCAAAGTCACTTTGTGGCAGAGCCAGGAACAGAGAGCCTCCCTCCCCCGGAACCTTCACCCCCAAAGCTCAGCCCTGCCCTCACCATGGGCTCAGCCTCCCCCTCCACACAAGACCCCCGGTGTCCCCCACCCTGTCCCCAGCATCCAGACCCCAGACCGGGAGGAGAAGCCCCCAGAACCCCCCCAACGCTCAGGGCTCCTGTTTTCATAACCCCCCCTTCTCTTACCCTCCCCCAGCCAGCTCCTGCCACCCCCCCCCCCCGGGCTGTTCTATCCCTCCCCCGGCCTGCTTCTGCCCCATCAGGGCTGCTCCTGTCCCCCCAGAGATGCTCCATTCCCCCACTGCCTGCTTCATCACCTCCCAGGGCTGCTCCCGACCCCCCCCCCCGAGCAGCTCCATCACCCCCTCCCCCCCGGGATGCTCATCACCCCTGGCACAGCAACTCCTGTATCCTTGCCCGCCCCCCCCCCATACGAGCCCTCCTGGAGGTCAGGGCTCACTTCCCATCCGGCTGGGGCGGGCCATGGGGTGGTCCGGGGGGGGGTTTTCCAGCCTCACGCCAGCACAGTGAACGCAGGAAATTTATACAGAGCTTTACAGAACAAAGCTACTGAAATCAGCCACACGATGGCCAAGACATAAAGAGGGGCCCCGCTTGTGTGTGTGTGTGTGTCCTGCACCCCATCATCCGCTGTCCGAGGAGGTGGGGGGGGCGGTAGAGGGGGCGCGGGGGGCCCGCGTTGGGGTGCAGGGGGCAGTGGCGGGGCAGAGCCGGGGGGTCCAGCTCCCCAGGAGCTCGCGCTGCTGCTGCCCCAGCGCCTGGCTCACCAGCGCCGGCAGCGCTCGCAGGCTCAGCCCCAGCGCCTCCAGTTTGCTCTCCAGGGCACCCAAGCGCTTCTCCAGGTCCTCGTGGCGCTCCTGCAGCTCCGAGACCATGTCGTACATGATGTTCTGGGTCTAAGAGGGGAATAGATGGGGGTCGCAGGGTAAGCACTGGGAGGCACCTCCCCAGCAGTGGGTTCCCTGCAGATGCCACCCCATCATAATCACTCACCTTCGCCAGGTCCACCAACGTGTTGGCCTGGTCGTTGAGCTTCCGCTGCTCCATCTTCACGCTCCTCAACCTGCAGAGACACAGGGGAGCGGGGTTAAGGGCAGCGACACCCCCATAGAGCCCACATCCCCTGCTGCACCCCAACATGCAGCCCGCACCCTGCCACAAGCACAGCCTCCATCGTCACCCCACACAAGCTGTGCTGCTGTATACCCCCCCCCCCCCCCCCCAGTTATTTTGCAGCAAGGAGCCCATGCAGAGGGAGAGCAGCCAGAGGAGAGGAGCAGCCCCGCGGGGTGAACTTACTTCTGAGCTCTGCAGGGACAGGGCAGAACAGAGACAAAACACAACGGCAGGTTTAATACCACCACGAAGAGCACAGGGAGACGACAGCAGACACAGCGCGGGCCTCCCCGCAGTGTCCCCCCCAAGCTGAGCACCCCTCAATTCCCCTCCCCCCCAAAGCAGGAGGCACCCAGAGGCTCACAGCCCCCAGCTCTGCTCCCTGGTGAACACAGACACATCAATCCCCAACCACCGGGTACCTCAGGGGTCACCCCAGCATCACCATCCACATCCCAAACCCCTTGGGAAAGCATCCCACAGCTGGGATGGGGACAAGGGACAACCTGGCTCCCAACCCCAGGATCCAGGGAAGGAAGTGCCTGGATCCACTGGGAAAAATCTCCTGGTAGGAAGCAGGTAAAGGTTTGGCACTTACTGATGGATGGCTTGGAGGAACTTACGCTGGTGTTTCCGAACTTTGGCATGGTCGATCTTCTTCACCAGCTTGGTGTGTTTGTAGATGAGCCACGTTTCCCTGAGTACGTTGGCAGCAGCATTTTTCACCTAGAAGCAGCGGAGCACCAGGATCAGGGATGGAAGAAGGGGCTGGTCCCATGGTTGATGAGGATGAGGAGTGGGTCTTACCCGCTTTGTTAGCTGTGTATCCATCATGAAGTTGTGCACGTGTTTCTCTGCTTTGGTGAGCTCCAGCTTCCTGGCAACCACAGCGACCACCAGTGCAGTGCAGCCAGCACCCTGCAGGCACAGAGCCCCATGGTGAGGGCAGAAGCAGGGGGCTCAGCGCTGTGCCCCCCCCCGCCCCATTGCTGGTGCTCACCATGATGCCGGTGAGCAGACACACACCCTTCCCGCAGTAGGTGTGTGGCACCATGTCCCCGTAGCCGATGGAGAGGAAGGTGATGGAGATCAACCACATGGCCCCCAAGAAGTTGCTGGTCACCTCCTGCTTGTCGTGGTACCTGCCCAGGGCCAAACGCAGCCGCTGTCACTGCCAGGGGCCAGCAACACCACATGTCCCTCACTTTGCCCATCAGTGGCTGCAGCCAGGAGGGTCCCCAAACTCCCAGCCATGCTCCTGGCACGTGGAGACACTGGGTACGGCCACCCAGGGGTGAGGACAGCCCCCAGAATGAGGATAACAGGGTGATAGGTGCGGAGCAGCAGCCTCCAGACCTGGATGGCAGCAACCTCCATCCTCCTAAAGCCCCCCCTGAGATCTCAAAGCACAGGACATGAATGCGACCGCCGGATCCCCAAAGGAAGGGACATCCTGTCCCTGTGGAGCAGGTTAGGGATGGCTGCACAGACCCAGAGCTGAGCACTCATCACCCCCCACCCCCCCCAAGCAAGCCCAGTGGCCCTGAGGCCACTGTGGGTGTCACTGGTGGGGGGAACACTGTGCTTTAGGATATCAACCATGGATGTGGATGGTTGTGCCCCCCACCCTCCCTGAGAGACTCCCAGCCACAGGACAGGGACATGCGGGGAGCAGGGGGGAGCCAGGGGGGAGAACAGGGGATGGAGCAAATGGGAACAAGCTGGAGGGGGGGGTGGTGGGTGGGTGGGCTGAAGCGAGCAGCGAGGCATTTAGGATTGCTGCACCCCTCCTTTGGGCTTGGAACCTCAGCCAGCCCCACAGGGCCACCAGCCCAAGGATGGCACCACATGGTGTACCCCAGCCTGGGGCAGGGGGGCTGCGGTGCCCCCCACTCCTCTCCATCCTCTCCAGGAACACCCGAGACTCCTCTGTGCTTGTTAAGAAGGGGAAACACGGAGCAACAGCCAGAGCCACAGAAAAGCCCTTTGGAGACTCTGCTCAGAAACATGAAGGATGCAGAGGATCCTCTGGCTCAGCTGTGCTCCTTGCTGGGGGTTCCCCCCTTCTGAGGTCACCCCAGGACCTGCAGCGACTCCTGCAGCAAACCCATCGCTCCGAGAGCACCCTGAGAGCTGGGGCAGCAGCACCTGCACTCCAGGTCCCCCATACACTGCAGTAGGACCCCTGGCTCATGCCCCCAGCACAGGGGGTACAGAAAGCAGCTGCTGAGGTTCCAAGCAGAAAAGGGCTCTGGCCCCTTTCTGTGCCCACGGTCTCTTTGCTCCCACCCAGGTCCATGACACCCCCCCACCACCCCCCCGCTGGCTGCAGCTAATCCTAAACCCTGGGTAGCAGAAGCTGGGGGGGACGTCCCGTGCAGGACGCGCTCTCGGTCCCTGGGGTGACTCACAGTTTGTCCCTGCAAGCAGCAGAGTATCAGGGAGGGAAAACAAGAGCAGTTAATGCACGTCCTGGGGGTGGAGCGGCCGAGAAGGGACGAGCACGGGCTGGGCACCGGCACGAGCATCCCGGCATCCTGGCAGGCACAGCTGAGGAGCACGGGCCACGTCCCATGTGAGACCCCCAGCTCCTCCTGATGCACCCCAGGGAGCTATGGGGGGGGCTTATGAGAGGGCTAGGGCTCCAGTCACCCTCTCCTTGCCTTGGTTTTGGCTCGGTAAAACCACTGTGGCCACTGCTTGAAACATGAGGGTCCCGCTGGGGAGTTCTGCCCCTCTTCTCCAAGGGGATTCTTCTCTCCCCTCAGCCCAGCCAGGGTCTGTACCGTGTGTCCTCAGCTGCACCCCAGCCCTGTGCCCCCCACCAGAGAGCACGCCCCGCACCTCTCGCACACTCGGACTGTCCAGGCAGCGATGATCCAGGAGGAGATGCTGAAGACGAGGAGGACAGTGCCGGGGCAGATGGTCATGAGGGTCTTCATGACGAAGCGGGTGTTGAAGTTGATCTTGTTGAGGGCACCGATGCTGCGGGAGGAGGCGTCGGTGAAGAGCTTGCTGTGCAGCAGCATGACGCGCCCGATCAGGTACAGCCGCAGGAACATGGGGATGGAGAGGATGATGTCCACGTCGGCGTCAGCCACTGAGGCAGCGTAGGTGAAGGCCAACCGTGCCGTCCAGGTGAAGAGGTACTGCCCAGGTATGGGGTGGATGGCGCAGACGATCAGCTCCAGCGCAATGAAGAAGATGCGCTCATAGGTCATGGCGATGCGCCAGTCATCGGCACCGTTATCCACCATGAAGAGCTGCAGGGAGGAATGAAAGGATGAGGGCGGGGTGGGTGCTAGGACCCCGGGGGTGGTGCAGCCCCAGTGAGCACCTGCTGATAGGTGCCTCTCACCTGGATCTCTCTGGCATGGTACATGACGATGAGCCCCAGGAGTATGATGGTTGAGAGGCTGATAAGGCATTTCAGTGCAAAAGAGTACGAGGACTCCTAAGAGGAAGCAGGCACCATGAGCCTCGATGGACCTACGCGGGCTCCTACCATCCCCTCAGCACTCCTCCTACCTTGGTGTAGACGCCCCAGGACAGTTCCGTCTCCGTGACCATGACCACGATGCCAAACATCCCAAAGATGAGGGCGTAATCGCTGAGGCGCTTCCTCTTCTCAAAGAGGGCTCGCCGGTGCCCCAGCTTGTACCCGATATTCTGGTTCCTCCGGGGTCCCCGGCCCCGGTCCTCAGCTGCATCCTGCCCTGGGGCTGCTGCCAGTTCGGGATCCGGACCCCCGGGCTGCTCCGGCCTGGACACCACCACCTCGAGGCCAGGGGAACGGCGCGGTCGCAGCGGTTGGGTCTCGGTCTCCAGTGGGTGCAGGGTGCGTGTGGATGTGCTCAGGGGGCCCCGGGGCCGTGCCAGCCCCCCATTGTACCGGCAGCTGCTCATGGCTCTGGCAGGGGGGGCACCGAGCGATCCCGCATGGCTCAGCGGCGCCGGGGCGACCTGCGGGACACGGCAACGCTGTCGGGTCCCCGGCACCCTCACCCCGGGGCACGTGCTGCCCATGTGCCGGCCTCGACGGACGTGCCCTGCCCGTGGGGTCGTGCCCCACACCCGGGGGTCGCAGCCGTCTCCCTCCGCCCCCCCCCTCCCCCTCCCCGCAGTGGGCAGTGAGCGCAGGACGGGTCCTGACGTGGGCTGGCCCCGGTGCTGGCCCCTGCCCGCGGCCCCGCCGGGACCGAGCCGCGCTCTCCCGCCGCGCCCCCGCTGCCGGGGCTCGGCCCCCGGCCCCCGCTCGGTACCTGCCGCCGGGCCGGGCCCCGCCGCTGCCGCCGCCGCCGCAGCCCGGCTCGGTCCCGGGGGCGCGCGGCGGCGGGACCAGAGCGCTCGAGAGGGCGGGGCGGAGGCGGCGCGGGGGCAGCTCATTGGCGGAGACCATCCACGCCTCCCCGTGACGTAAGACACGCCCCGCCCCCCCCATCCCGCCCCCCGACCTCCCCGCCCCCCTCCATGCGCTCCCCGCACCTCCAGACCCCGCACAGATCCGCTCCCCCTCCAGCGCCCCGTGACAACCCGTAGCACCCCCCCATCACCCCCCCCCCAGCTCCATTGCACTGCTCCCCTGCATCCCCTTATCCTCCCCCCGTGCACCCCCCCCGTGCACCCCCTCCATCCTCCCCATGCCACCCCCAGCATCCCCACTACATCCCCTCATTCCCCCTCCATGCACCCCCTCCTCCTCCACCACCCCCAGCTCCGCAGCAGCTCCCTGCACCCACCCCGTACCTGCTCGGGCTCCCCGGGTCCGGCCGGGTGGGGCCTTGAGGCATCAGGGGGTGCAGGGTCGGGGCCTGGCGCGGGGGGGGTCCGGGGGTTCTGGTGCCATGGACTGCCCTCCACACCTGGCCACAGAGAAGATGTGGAGTTAGGGGGTCCCCAAACACCCCCCAGGGGGTCACTGTGTCTCATGTCCCCGCTGTGCACCCCAAGGCCCCACAGAGCCAGCGCAGTCCCACCAGCACTGGGGGGTCCCTCAGCAGCGAGCACAGACCCCGCAGCAGAAACTGCACCATTGTAGCCAGCACCGAGCCCAGCACCGCCAGCCCTAGTGCACGAGTGGTGGCTGTGCTGCACAAGCAGCCCCGCTGCACAACAGGCTGCACTGCACAAAAGGCCCCATTGCATTACGGGCTGTGTTGCACGAACAGCCCATTGCACAATGGGCTGCAGTGCATGAAAGGCCCCATCACATCAACAGCCCCACTGCACACCGGGCTGCGTTGCACAAACACCCCATTGCACACCAGGCTGCACCGCACCAACAAAACCATCGCACAACGGGCCTCAACGCCCCGGTGCAGGGCCCACGGTGGCACTGACAGCACCAGCAGCACCGGCAGGGGCTGGTCCCTGCATGGGGAGCCAGGGGGGTTCTGGCCTCTCCCCTCGTGGGGCTGCAGCTCCTGGATCTCTGGTCTCCTGCTGCAGCCCATCCCGGTAACATCCCTAACCTGGCATCGCTGCATCCCCCCACCTTGTCCTCATCCCTCCTGGTACAGGGACACTGGGAAGGTGGTGCTGCCACCAGCATCCCCCATCCATAGGGACCCCTTCCCTATTCCCAACGGACACACTGCAGACGGGGAAGGTGTTTTCCTGCCCCTTGGGAGCAGCGGCTGGGCTCCAGTACCCGGCTGCTCCCAGTGCGCATCCGGCGTTGCTGGCTCGCCTCCAGAGCCGGATCATTTTCTCTCCATTCTGCCAAATTTATCGCAGGAAAATGGGCTCCGATTTCCTTTAACTGTTCAGGTGGGGAATAAAACCCTATCGGGGGGGTGGGGTGATGCGGTGTTCCAGGGCTCTGGCCCCAGGCCCCTTCAAAACAGCGGTGCTGGAGCTGTGCCAGGGCCCAGCACTCACCCCATGGCCTGTAAAACTTCTTGGCACCAGGAATGGGGCAGGTGAAGCCATCCCCGATGGGTGACAGTAAATATCTCCTTAACCATCACTCTGTGGTCATGTCACTAATAGCTCCTACTAATGGCAATCCAAATGTGCCCTATTAAATCCTCCCCCTGTCAGGACATCCATAGGGATGTTTCCAGCAGGATTCAGCACCCCGAGGGTCCATTCAAACTGTGAAGGCCAGAGGGGTCCCTGCCCCTTGTCCCTTGTCTGTGGCCGGTGGCTGCATCCCTAGGGATGCTTGGGCAGGATGCGCAGCACAGGAGCACTCAATGTCACCCCCCCTATCGCAGGGACGGGACCACGGTGGGTACCCCTGGCCTCAGCCATTGAATGTCCTTGAGCCACAGCCCTGAGTGTGGCTGCACTCAGCAGCTCCCAGTGATGCGGCAGCCCCAGTGTCGCAGGGGGGCTCCCGTCACCCCACGGCAGCACTGGGACATGGTCTCACCTTCCCAGTGGGATGTGGGGGCGGAGGTCCTTGGGGACATGGGGGGGATCCTGGCCTCAGATATCACCAGCTTTAGAGAAGAGCTGGCTCTGGGAGGGATGGCAATGGTGAGAAAAGGGATCCTAAGGGGGACCCTGTCTGGGGCAGCAGCACCTCACCCAGCACTGAGCAGTGACACGGATGGGGGGGACATGGTTTAAACCCATTACAACTGGGCTGCAGCAGCCCCCACAGCCCTGGGGGTGGCTGTGCGGTGTCAGTGGGGCACCCCCCCGTGCCCCGCAGCACAGTGACAGTGCCTAGGAGCAACTGCAGAGGAGGAGGGTGCAGCTAAAAATAGAGGTGGGCAGCGAAAGGCTCCCGCTGGGGATTTATTTATCACCCGCTTGCTAATTCCTGCTTGGGAATTGCGGGCCCGGGCAGGGAGGGGCAGGAATCTGGGGGAGCAGTGGGTGCCATGGCCATGGAACGGCTGCCATGCTGGGGGGAGCCAGGGACCCCCCCACACTATGGCACAGGGACTCATGGCACAGCCCCAGGGCTCCCCGCTGCCAGCATGGGCTTTGTGGGTGCACAAAGTACATCAGACCCCTTGCAGCCCTCCCCTTGTCCTCCCAAACCTCCCACAGTGGCCCCAGCTCCCGCTGCCATCCAGCCCTGGCCATATGTCCCAGGCTGCAGAGCATCTGCCAGTGCCAGCAGGAGGCCCCCGCCCCCCGCACACCCACTGCCATGGGGCTGGATGAGGGGTGAGCACCACTGCTGCCTTTTGAGGGTAGGGCAATGAGGCTGACCATGGTTTTGGGACCATCTGAGCCCCTTTGGGCTGGCAGAGGCACCAGCATAAGGCCACTAAGCTCCCAAAGAGACCAGGATAGCACAGCCAAGCCCTTGGCACCGTGGGACCCCAGGTCCACCAGCAGCCAGGGCCCCCCCATCCCTCCATGTCCACCCTGCTGCACCAGGGTGGGTGCAAAGGGGCAGAGCCCTGTACCGGGGGTGCCCAACACATGATCTGTCCCATTCCCACCCATGGGGTTGTGGGCGGCATCGGTCTGTGGGTCCCACGGCACAAGGGGAGCTGCACAGGATGACACACAGGGACACGTGGGGACACCCGAAGCTCCCATCTCCACGTAGGGGAATCCCCGGCTTTTCCTGCGGTCTCCCTGCTATAAACCCTCCCCAGAGCCCTACCGGGATGCCGTGGGGCTGGATCGGGCCACAGAGGGACGGCAGCAGTAGCACCTGTGTCCCCAGGGCCTCCCCAGTCCCCTCTTAGCACAAGGGGAACCCCGTCCCCAGCCCTCCCACCTCAGGAGGGGGAAGCGCCATGGGGACACCCTACCTGTGCGGGTGCCTGCGGGGTGCTGTGCGGTGCGGAGAGGGGGGAGTCCGCGTTCCCCACTTCCTCCTTTTGGCTGCCACCGCGCCGGCGGCCCCAGACAAAGCCGCCGCTCCTGGTTCTCCTGCCGCCGCCCCCCCACCGCCGCTCGGCTCCGGCGAAGGACAAAGCCGCTTCGCCTGGCTGCCCCCGCCGGGTCACCGTGGGCCCCCCCCGCGGGCCGCCAACTCGGGGACACGGGAGTCCTCGCAGCCCCCGCACCGCTATGGGGCAGGGAGGGCTCCCCTAAACCTCGCAGAGCCCTGTGGAGAGCCCCATGACCGCGCTGCGGGGCTGGGGGTCCTCCACACTCAGGTGGGGTCCCTGCAGCCACCAACCCTGCGCAGGGACCCCAAGGTCACAGGGAAGGGCAGGAGGGCCCCGTGCACCGAACCGCCTCGACGGCTGCACCGAGGCACGTCGAGGCCATGAGGGCCCGGTGGTGCCAGACCCTGCCGGGAGCCCCCAGCACCAACCCGGGGCTCGGCCCCGCCATGGCCTCAGGTCCCGCCAGCACCGGTGCCACACTGCGTGCCGGTGTCACGCCAGAGAGAGTGGGGGCTCTATGGTTGTGGTGGGTGCTGAGCTGTGTGCTGGTGCTGGCTCTCCCCGGGCCTGTCCTTGGGGCCATGTCTCACCGGTGCTGTGCCGGCAGCCAAACCCTGTCACCAGCGAGAACCAAGAGCCCCCCGTTCTCCCAACCAGTTCGGCCGTGCTCCCCTTCACAGCCTCATGGCTTCAATCCCTGTGGCCACACTGTCCCCAAGGACAAAGACCCCAAAACCCCTTGACTCCAGCAGCAGGGGATTGCCCAAAACAAAGGCTGTCCCCGCTTTGGGGACCCACACCCAGAGGTCCCATCACCGAGGTCCCCACCAGTGCTGCCCACAAGGTTCCCACCGTTGCCATCCCTGGGGTTCCCCGCCGCTGCCCCCACCCGCCGGGGTTCCCCCAGTTATCTCCCCCCCTGCCTGCTCACTTGCCGCGGCCCCGTGCTCTGGGGGGCGCCGGGATGAGCCGGGGTACCGGGTGCGGGCGGGCGGGTACACGGTGGGGCCGCGCCGCCGGAGCGTGGTGGAGATGGCAGCCGAGCTTCAGCGCGTGTGGAAGCCGCGGGGCGGGGGGGGAGAACCGGGGGTGCTTCCCCGCCCCACAGCCCGCGCCCCCCCGCACAGCGGGCACTGACCTTGAGGCCGCGGCGCCGGCGGAGGATGGGGGGAGGACGGTATTTTTAGCCGGGTACCGTCACTCCCATCGTGTCCCCATTGTGGCCGCCGTGGGCTGCCCCAACCCGCCCCCGCCCCTTCTCCCCCCTCCCGGGCTCCCCGGGCGCAGCTTTGAGGTGATGAAGAGGTCCTGTCTGGTCCGGCACCCCCAGAGCCTCGAGGTGCCCTAGGGGTCCCTTTCCCAAGGAGTCACAGTGCATCCTCCTCTGCCCCTCTGCATCCCCATTGCGCTGGGGGGAGGGTTCCATGCAAGCTGGGGGGGGTCCCCATGATCCAGGGAATCCCCAAGAATCAGGGGGATCCCCAGGAGTCAGGCGAATCCCCAGGAGGGAGAGGAGATCCCAGGAACCTGGGGGATCCTCGAGGGGGGGGAATTCCCAAGAGTTAGGGGGTTCACCAGCACCAGCAGGTCTCCAGGAGCTATGGGGGGTGTTCCAGAAGCTGGGAGGATCCCCCGGAGCCCGGGGGGATGCCAGGAATCAGGAGGAACCTCAGGAGCTGGGGGGGGGAGCCCAGGAGCAATGGGGGGCGGGTTCCCCCAACCCCCCATTAACCTCGGCCCCCTCCATCCCAAAGCACCCACCTGCACACAGACCCCGGCCTCTGCTGCCCCCGGGCGCTGCCGCCGGTGACCATGGCCTGGCGTCGGTGGAGAGCCCGGTGCGCCGGGAGGTTCCGCCGGCGGCGCGGGATGAGCCGGGGGCCGGGGGTGCCTCGGGTCCCGCCTGGCCCCACGCGGCTGCTCCGTGCCTCGGTTTCCCCAGCGCGGGGAGGGGAGGGCCGGGGCGGGTGCGGCGGCGGCGCCGGTGCTGCTGTGGCTCAGGCTCACCCCGCGCAGCCGCGCACGCCGGCAGCCCCGCTATTGTCTGCAGCTAAATATAACCTCAGCGGGCTCCCCCGCTGCCAGCACCACCACCGGCACCATCCACCCGCCGTGCCCCCGAAGCAGCCCGTTGTGAGCAGGACCCAGCGCCCCCATCCCGCGGCACCACGGTGGGGAAATGTGGTTCCCCCCCCTCCCGCCGGGCCCCCGGCTCGATGCGCATCAATCACACGGCGGGTGGGTGGGCAGCGGCGGGGGCACACGCGCGTGCAAGCAGGGGAGCGGGGGGTGAGCGTGCACAGGGAGGGATGGGTTGAGGGTGCTGAGCCGTGCAGTGAACAGAGCCCGGGGGGGGGGGGGCACAAGGGGGTGTGAACAAAGGGGGTGTGCGCAGGGGTGCGTGCACGCGCGTGTGCGTGCACGCGCAGCTCCGTGTGTGCAGGGCTTGCACGCGCAGCCTCGTGCCGGCTGCTGCAGTGCGCGGGGGGGGACGGGACGTGGTGCAGAGAGCGACTGTGCGCGGGGAGGGGCTGCGGGGGGGGGGATGCCCGGTGGGGGTGGGGGTGTTCCCTGCACGGCGGTGCGGGGATCCCACTGCCTCGTGACCGCCTCCCCCCCCCCCCCCGGATTCCCCGCCCCCGCAGCGGAGCAGCCCGTTGCCATGGCAGCAGAAGGACGAGGTTGGGGGGGGGGGAAAATCCCCGGAGGGGCGGTGTGGGGAAGCCCACCCCCCCCCCCCCGAAACACCTTTGCTAAGGGGGTGCCCCTGCAGTGGGTGTGTGTGCAGGGGTTCCCTCATTAACCCCTTCCTGCACCGGGGGATCCCCCACCACATTCCCTCTTTACAATGGGGGGGTGTGCATGTCCCGATCTCCCCCATCAAAGGATTCTCCCCATTCATCCCTTCTTTGCAACTAGGAAACCCCCAACCTGCACTGGAGCAGCTCCCCTTCCCTAGCATGGGGGTTCCCTTCCCTGAACTGGGGAGGGGCAGCTCTCCATTAATAGCCCCCATCCAGCAAAGCAGGGGGAGATCACTGCATCATGGGGTGGTGCCCTATATCATGAGGGGGGTCCCCTATGTCACAGAGTTGGGGGATTCCCTCCCCAGGTGCTGCTATGGGGGCTCAGCCTCCAGTACTTCAAGGCTATGGGGGGGCCCTCTGTGACGCAGCCCCCCCGGGGTAGCAGCATAGCACTGCCGCAGTGCCAGGGAGGAGGAGGGGAAGGAGGGTGGGCTCTGCTGCACAAAGCGAGAGCTGCGCAGGAGCTGAAGGCCTCTGCACCATGGGGGTAACAGGGGAGGGCAGGGAGGGGGGATCCCCGGAACCCCCCCCCGTGAGGGGGAACACTGCAGCCTGGGGGGCAGGCAGGGGTCAGGAGAAACACTCGTGTGTCCTTGGTTCACCATGGAGGGGCTGGGGGGGGGGGTTCACCTTCACTACTACAGCTGAGTCACACGCACATCCCCTGCTGGGGGGTCACAAAGGGGTTACCCCACCCCAAATCCCTAATCCAGGCAGGAATTAACTCCAGGAGGATTTTCAGCCACGATTTAGGGGAAGAATCCCCCTGCCCCCGCTTTTCTTCAACAAGTGCAAAGGGTTGGGGTTTATTGTTTTTTTTTTAATGGGGTTCAAACACAACAAACTCCTCACAGAACGGGGCGGGGGGGGGGAAGGGACACTGGGCACCTTCCTTCCTGCAGTTACCTGGGGGGAAACATACACCCTAGCCCAGCTGTCCCCTCAGCAGGCTGCAAGGGAGCCCCAAAACAGCCACTGCTGCTGCTCCTCAACCCACCCAAGTGCAAATGCTGCTGCTGCTGCCTCCAAGGCTCCAGCATCAATCAGGAGCAATCCTGTGCAGGAATAGGGGCCACTCACTGCCTGGGATGAGCCCTGGTGGTGCCACACCATGGGAAGGAATGCCAGCGGGATGCTGAACCAGCCCTGGAGTTGGCATTCCCTGCTGATCTACACAGGTAAAGCACCAACAGCAACAGGCACGGGTTTAGGTCATAGGAAGGAGTTTCATTCCCAAAGGAGACCAGAAGAGATGGGAGGAGGGAAGAGAGGAAATGCCAGTGCTTGGTCATAGAGAGGGGCTCACCCATTTCTTCTCCTGGAGCACTGGCACAGGCAGGTTCATGCCCTTGGTGCAGCAGTGGCTGAGCCAACATTCCCAATATCCTTCCACAGGCTCCTGCCTGAGCCTGGGAGCAGTCAGGGGAAGCAGCGATAGGAGAAGCAGCAGCTTCCCTCCTGGAGACAGGCAGCTCATTTGTTGTGCAGGGTCACAGCCCCTCCAGGAGCACCACCAGCAACGTGTGAGGCTCTGGGCAAGGCCACCAGGGAAGTGACAAGAGAGGAGTGTGACACCAGTGTCCTGCAGGGATTGCGCTGTGCTATTTCTCCTCTTCCTCCTTGAAGATGGAAGGTTATTTTCTCTCTTCCCCTGTAACTCTTTGCTGACGGAGCTTCTGCTCCCGTTGTGGTTCCTCCTTCCCATCTAACTCCAGCTGAGACCCAGAGGTGGCTGGCAGCAGGCAATGCCAACAGCAGTCCCAGTCTGGAATCAATGTGGGGACATCCCAGCACCCAAGATGACACAAGCAACAGCGGACAGGTGCCTTCCTCATGGTGCTTGCAAGAAGTACTCACCCTGCAGAGGACGAGGATGCAGCGCAGCGATGGCAGAGTTGGGGTGATGCAGTCTGGGTGAGGTCCAGCCTGGAAAAGGTTGCTGGGGGGTCCCCAGCTTGGCAGGAAGCAGCGCTGAGGCTGCACCCTGGGAGCACTGAAGGGCTGGAAGCGAGTTAGTAGCTTGTTTTTGTTGTAAGACAAGTGGCTTAGGGGACAGGAGGGTGGTAGTGGTGTGTCCTGGTCATGCTGCACCAGCATGCCCAGGGGGACAGGACCATGCAGGGTCCTGAGCTGTGGCCTCGTGCCTATCTTAAATCCAAGAACAGACAGAAACTGGGGGCAGGAAAACAAAAGGAGAGGAGGTTCCTTGTGTCTCCTGTTCTCCTGGGAGCAGAGCCCCGGGGCCTCCTGCCCACTGTCCGGGGGTGGGGGTGTGGTGGTGTGTGCGATTGCTCAGCTCTAGTTCTACTTTTGGCTGTTGTAAGCCTTGTGCCGCTGGTTCATGGGGTTTTCTGGAGACTTCATCCACTCCTTCTTGAGGAGCTGCTTGAGCTGGGACAGGCGCATGTTGGGGTTCTCCTGCTTCAGGCGTGGCAGGTTGAGCTCCTCGAAGGCGGTGAAGGCGGCTTTCATCCGGCGCTCCGGGTGCCGATCCAGGTCATTGGCAACGCTGCCAGGAGAGAATTCAGAGGGAGCCACACGTCAGAGCCACCTCCAGCAGCACCACTAAACCCCTGTCAGCACAACCAAGTGCCTACAGAGTAACACGGGTGATAAAGCAGGAAGCCCTGTGATACTCCTCCCACCACTTCAAATACTCTCCAAAGAACAACAGGCCAAGGGACAGGTCCTGTTCTTGCTGTTGAGATATGAACTGACAATCAGAGCATAAAGAAGAGCCAGTTCTGGGGAAGGATCTGCAAGGACTTCTCTGAAAGGAAGCAACACCTTCAAAGGAGAGCACTGCTGTGATACACCCACGTACCTGAGGACAGCAATGGCATCTTCAATCGTTCTGGCCTCCACTGATCCTTCCTCCAGTACCCTTCTGTTGACGTTCTCTTCCAAGGGGACCTCCAAGTGAGTCTTCTCCTTTTCCACTGCACGGGGGGGGGGGAAGGAGAGCTGTGAACGTCAAATCCAGCCTGTGCAACACCCTCATAAGGTTTTCAAAAGCACCCTGAAGAAACTCAGACAGCTCAGTCTCAGTCCTCTACAGCTCTGTTCCTCCACCTCAAGGTGACAGGAGGTTTCTTCTTCCCCCCATCTGAACATTAGTCTCAGCAAAGCATACAACACACAACAGCTACAGGCAGCTCTTGCTTTCCAAACACCTTGCCCATCAGCAAGGGCGAGTGCAGAAGGAAGAGCCCCCTTCCCACTCCCAGCCCCCCGTGGCCATCAGGGTCTTTCTGTGGTAACACAAACCTGCCTCTGCATTCTCCTTCTGCTGCTGGTCTTTCCTGATTGTCTCCTCGATCTGGGCCCTGGTGACTTTGCCTGGAGTGACCTGCTTGGGTGACTTCCCCTTCAGCTTTGAGTCTTCCTCCTCCAGCAGGCGCTGCAGCTCCTTCTTGCGCTCCAGCTGCTCCAGGCGCCGCTTCTCCCGCTCTTCCTGAAGGGAGAAAGGATCAGCTCACCTCCACCCTTACACCTCCCTAGGGTGGAGGGATCCAACTAGCCCTTACAGGAGAAGGGTACCCTGCTAGAGCAGGAGCAGGCACCTCACTTCTGTAGCTAATGCAGCACTGACCTCCTCCTGTCACAGGGGATGTTGGCTGGTTCTCCCCAGTGAGACAGTGATAGCCGGGCCCTTTTGAATAATCATTCCCTGCCCTGTCTGCACCCACGCATGGACTCCTTGGGATGGCAGGACGGTGAAACGCAACCCTGATGACTATCACATTAAGTTCTCCACTTTAAGAAGTGGTCAGAGGTTGAAAGTTCAGCAGTTGTTTGAGAAAAGCCAGTCAAGAGGCTGAATTCATCCTCAGGTCTGGCTCAGGGCAAGCAGGGAGACCAAATCCAACAAGCAGTGCAGCTCCTGTGGGGATTTTCAAGTGCTCCACAAGGAAGTTAAGAGCCACTTTGCCCTCCAAGGCCCAGAGAAGAGGCTGACAAGACCATGCAACAAGCCCTTAAGGGCTTTCAGCACTTTGGCTTTGAGTTTTCTTCCTTCTCTCCCCTGCAGAAAGGAAAACAAATGCAGTGTCACAGGCTTCAGAGCATTTCCTACCTCAGTTAGTTACATGGACACTTAATTCTGGCTCTCATCCATTATTCACTGGGATGGCTCAAGGAACTGATGGAGCATTAATGGAATGGGTTTACTCAAAGGCAGCAAACC